TGCCTACAAGACGCCCATTGGTACCTCACCGTACCGGCTTGTCTATGGAAAGGCATGCCATTTGCCCGTGGAGCTAGAGCACAAGGCCTTCTGGGCCCTTAAGCTGTAAATTTAGATGTTAGTGTTGCAGGTGTTGAGCGCAAAATGCAGATGTTGGAGCTGGAAGAGTGGCGTTATCACGCCTATGAGAACACCAAGCTGTACAAGGAGCGCACTAAGCGCCTGCACGATGCACGGTTGCAGGGTCCGAAAGAGTTCCAGGTTGGTGATCGAGTTCTCCTTTATAACTCTCGCCTGAAGCTCTTTCCCGGAAAACTCCGTTCCCGGTGGTCTAGACCGTACACGGTCACACAGGTGTTCCCGTATGGCACGATCGAGATTGCCAACCCGCAGACTGAACCATTTAAGGTGAATGGCCATCGTCTCAAACTCTACTTGGGAGGCGAGGTCGAACGTGCGGAGTTGGCAGTGGACTTCGCGGACCCTTAGTTCCGCCATGGGCGTCCATCTAAAAGACGGTAAAGAAGCGCTTGTGGGGAGGCAACCCCACCACGGTTTGCATTTCTATCCTTTGTTTTTTTTATTTATTTCATTTTTTGTCGGTTTTTGAGTCTTTGAGTCTGTCTAGAAAGTTTTTCGTGCCTCGGACGGTTCTTTTTAATGTGTGATTGGGTAAATTTTAGAGCCGGGGCACGAATGAGTCATGGTGGTTTGAGATTGAAATTTTGAAAAAAGGCATTTTGGGCTCGGCAGTAAAAACACGGGCGCCAGGGGACCAAAACACGGCCGTGTTTTCCCCCTGCCCGCCCGTGTTTTGGAATTTGGCCGCGGCAGTAAAAACACGGGCGCTGGGCTTCCAAAACACGGCCGTGTTTTGGCCCCAGCCCACCCGTGTTTTCAAAGTTTTGGAATTCGGCCTCGGCAGTAAAAACACGGGCGCGGAACAGGCCGAACACGGCCGTGTTCCAGCCCACCCGTGTTTTGCCTCCCCCCTATAAAAGTCGATTTTCATGCCCCAAACCCATCAGAATCATTTTTTTCAAAATTCTCAGCCGCCCTCTCGCCGGAAACTCGGCCCCTTCCTCTTCTCCTTCGATTTTCCGGCCATAACTTCCTCTCCCGACCTCCAAATCGCAAACCGCGAACGCCCCCACGTTCCTGGCGTCGAGGAGCACATTCCCCAAAGATTTGGGCTGATTTGGCCGAGGTTGGGTCGCCGGCGGTGAGTTTTCCGGCGAGTCTCCGGTGTGTTTTCCGGCGACTTAGGGTGCCTTTTTCCACTTTCTTCACCTCTCTCGTAGTCTCTCCTTGCGTCTCCAGGTGTGTTCTCCTTGTCTTTTATTTTATTTAATGGAGAATCGATACCTAGAGTTAGGTGAAGAACTTGTGATTGTTGAATGGTTTGGGGATGATTGGGTAGGCTGATGATGCTATTTGGTTGTTCTATTTTTGCCTCGGGATTTCAGTCATTCGGCCTACCATTTGCATGTTGCATTGTATGCGTGCTTGTGTGGTTTGTGGGTGGTGCCTCGATTGGTGATTATTTAGTACGGTTTTGGTATGCTTTTTTCACCGGGGGCCTAGTCCACTGTTCGAATCGCTCGATTTGAGGGTCCCCGGTGTATTTTGTTGTGTAATTATCGTGTGATGGGTATGCTTGTTTCGTCGGGAGTCTAGTCCACTGTCCATATCTTTCGATATGAGGGCTCCCGGTGCGGTTTTTGGCCTAACATTGACCCTGTTTGCTTGTGTACCCTTTGTACTTCCTTGTGTTTTGCAGGATCATGGAAGTTTATCTCGACCAGTTGAGCATCACTCAACGCCACCTGCTGCGGGCCATCCGTAACCGCACCTTCGCCGAGCACCTGCAACTCGATTTTGAGGTGTTCGAGGCGCTTCAAACCAGGCCACAGATGGAGGCCGTGGTTCGCCCCTATGGTTGGCGGCGCCTTCTCACCCTCGCCGAGCCGACCTATAAGGAGCTCGTCTGAGAGTTCTACGCCACCTTCCACCACAACTCGAAGGGGAACTCCGACCATGCTGATGCGGTTCAATTCACACTCGGCGGGGTGGCGCACTCCCTCAGTTACTGGGAGTTCGCCAATGCACTTCGTCTCAATTCCCGGGAGTCCGGCGGGCCGCCACTACGCTTGGACCTCTCTGATCCCATCGACTTTGCTTCCCAGGCTTACTTCCAGCGAATTTGCCTGCCGAACCATGTGGATGAAGAGCACGTTGCCAGCCAGACGCGGGCCTCTCTCCTCCGTCCGGAGTGGCGGATCCTAAACCACTTGCTTTGCACTTCCTACACACCCAGCAAAGGTTCATCCAATCGGGTCACACTCCGGACACTATGGTTGATGCATTCGATGGGTCTTTCTGAGGACACCATCTAGCTGGGCTCTGTGCTCGCCCGGACGTTCACCAAAGTCGCCGCCAGCTAGAGTCGCAGCCTTGTATGTGGCCCGGTGATCACCGCCCTAGCCCGCCACTACGGGGTTGACTACACTGGGATGACCTTGGTCCATGCACCAACCTCGCTCAGCGAGGCTACCCTCCGCCACCAGCACATTGTTGCTCGCCACGGGCGTGTGCACTGGATCGCGGGCCTTCCTCGGCCACCTCTACCTGCAGCGGGCGACCAGCCCGAGTCGAGCGCCGCTGGTGGACGCCGAGTTCCCCGTCGCGCTTTTCGTCGTGACCAGGCTCCCGCGAGCCCCTCTCCTGCTCCTCGGTCTCCTACTCCAGGGTCTGCTCCTCCAGTGGTGGTGCCAATTTCCGACCAGTTGGCGGCGATCGCTCAGCAGAACGAGCGCATCCTGGCCGGCCAGGAGCGCATTCACACCCGCCTTGATCGTGAGCGGGACCGAGGGCGTCGTCTCATGTCAGGCCAGCACTACATCATGTCCTACTTGGGCTTGGACCCGAACGCGGTCCACTACCCGTTCGTGCAGTCCCCGGGGTTTGAGGATGAGTACCCTCCACCCACCGGCGATGGTGGTGATGCCTTCTAGAGCTGGTTCTGTGCTTTATTTGTGTTACAGACTGAGACTCCGTGTTTTGTGGTTTCGTTTTGTTTTTTTTTATCTTGGATTGTAGACCTGGAACTCTGGTTCTTTCACCCAGTGTGTGTTTTTTGTTGTCTTTAGCTCTGTGCCTCCTTCTCTGGACTGGTCTGCCTTTCAGTCCCCGTTCCTATTCTCCTTTCACGGTAACATCGTTCCCCTTCCCTCTGCTCCATTGAGGACATTGTCGCGTTTAAGTGTGGGGGGGTTCTTTGTATGAATTGGAACGTATATATGTGTGCTTAGAGCCTAGTCCACTGTCCAAATCTCGAGATTTGAGGGCTCCAAGCACTGCCGTTTGCCTGATGTTTTATCGTATTGGCACTGTGGATGTGATTAGTGAATTGAATGGCTTTTGACTGGATGCATGACAACTTGAGTGTGACTAAGACAACTTATTGTGATGACTGAGATGAGTAGTAGAATTGTGTAGGGGTTCAGTTTTTCAACTGTATGCTTACCAAATGTGACTTGGTTTGATCACTTGCTTTTGACAGTCATTTATGCATCTAGTTCAGGGAATCAGAACGAGAGATAGAGCATATAGGTAGCCATGTGAGACTTGAGCCTGCTCGTTTCTTTCATGTGCGATAGTTTCCTCTTCCATGATGTGCAGCATTCACGTTGTCATTAGCTAAGATGATGGAGGCATAGGATTAGCCCACGACCAAATTGACTGTCCTGGTGTGTCATACCCCCTAGTCAGCCCCTTTGAGCCGTGTATTTTCCTTTCTTTTGGTCTTCAATGAAAAGTCACCCTTTTGCATCTTTTAGAAGGTTCCACATAGTGATTTTTACATGTTTTCTGCTGTTTCCACTAAACGTAATGTGAGGGTTGGAGGTAGTGCTTAAAAGTTGGGCAGGTGTTTGAAATTGTGCAGAGGTGGTGGTTCTCTTAAGAAATGAAAAATAATGAAAGAAAAACAAAGAAAAAATGAAAGCAAAAGAGAGCCACCACCAAAAATCTGAATAATGCCCATTTAGTAGTGTTTCTTAGCAGTCTGGCTTAGAAATACTAGCATTTATGTGACCTCCTTCGCTCTTGTGCTCTGAAGAATTTGATTGACTGATGACTCGGTATTTGCACATGTTTTCCCCTTTGTTTCTTGATTGTTTGAGCTTGAATTATTGCGTCTTTGGACTATTTTATGCTAGGTTGTGTTCCTTTGTCCCATTTCAGGTCCTAGCACATAAAGTGAAGCATAGGCGCAAGTTTCGAGTCAATCAGAGATCAATTGACGATTCGAGAGAAGAAACTCGGGCATGACCTGAAGAAGAATGGATTTCTACCTCACTTTATGGACAAATAATCATGCAAGCTTGTTATGAAACGAAAGAGGACAAGACTACGAGCGTCTGGGATCAAACGGCGACTGATTCGGAGTCCGGACGAGGGAGAAACGAAGCATTAAACAGAGGCTGAGCAAGCCACACGGGCAGAGCAGAAAATCCACACGGCCGTGCAAGGTGAGCTGCACGGCCGTGCGACCCTGGCCGTGTAAGAAGCCTGGAATTCAACTAATCGATACGCTTCGTTTTGACTCGCACGGGCAACTGGGTGAGCTGCACGGCCGTGCGGCCTGCCCGTGTGAGTCGGGAATTGCTGTTTAAAACCCGATTTTCAGCCAAAGGAAAGGGGAGAGCTGGGTTTTGGATCCCAAACACCCAAGGGACGAACCAAAGAGAGAGAGGGCGATCTGAGTGAATTCTAAGAGTGGAATTGGAGGATTTCTTCGCCTTGGAAGCTCGAGGAACAAGCCCGGACTTGAAGACTGATCATCTGAAGATTCTTACTGCAGTCACTTTCTTCTCTATGGAGTAACTTCCCTTCACTTAGGTTTTGAGGAACCCTAGCTATGTTTGTTTGATTGGATTATTGTATGAGTACTCTGACTTGATAATCTTGAGTTCATATTCAATCTATGCATGTTTTCATGATTCAATTCTGCTTTAGTCGAGATTATTGATTCTGCTTTGATCCTATGAGAGGGAATACCTGATTAGGTCAATAGAGCACCATAGATTGATAGTAGTGGATCGATTGCTTTAGTCGAGGGTTGATTCACTGCTTTGTATCGATTGAGAACCTCTTTCGATAGAGGGAGTCTAGTTCAGAATGCCTTGATCAGTTGTTCTAGAGAAGGATACGTCCCTCTAGGCAATTGACTCAAGAGGGCCTTGTTCCTTTAGTCGAGACTCAAGGTCTAGTCAAGGATTCTCCGCATTGTGAATAAAAGTGAAACAAGTTAGAAATCATCAATCGTTAGTCTAGCTAGTGGCTAGGGGGAATCATACCTAAGTGAGTCCCAACCTGTAATTAGATTAACTTTAACTGTAGTTTGCTAGAGTAGTTTTAGTTCTTTCATCTTAATCTGGTTTGCTAAATAATAAACTGAAGCTCAGTAATAGTAACTTTAGAGACCCGTGGATTCGACTATACTGCAGTCCCTTCCATTGGTTACACTTGGCCATTGTTAGGTGTTGTGTCATAGCGAGTCAGTAATGCAGAATAGCAGAAAGAAAGTTATTGGTTTGATTGACTGCGAGTTTGTTGGGTTTGGATATGTGGAACCTTTTGCTCTATGAATACTTCCACCACCTAAAAGGCCTTTTTCCCATGTCCGAGACCCTAGCCAGTCATCTGAACCTGTGTTTAAGACCTCCGGATTAGTTAGTGGTGACACCCCATATGTGAACTCTAGCACTTAGAGGCTGCATTCATGGTGAAGAGATGTTAGGGATTGAGAGATTAAGCATGCGCATTTTTCGCATCAAATTGTCCTGACCCCACTGGTCGAGAGTGAGCGATTCATTTTCTCATATTCTCTATACTCTTTATCCCAATGAGGACCTAGATTGCTCTGTCTTAATTCTGATATCTTGAGCTTTGTGCATGAAGTGACTGTTTTGAATAAGCGGTTGAGTCAAGTCTATGTTGGTTGGTGAACAGAAGGGAGACTCTTCCTTTGCTCGATTTTACTGCATTCGAATGTCATCTGTGGTGGTTGTCTAGGTTGTCATTGAGGTTGTCCATGTGTTAATGATCGAAAGCCAGTATGATCCACGTTTTTGTGCCGATATGATATGCCCTTAAGCATGCTTGATTGAAAAGTTTTGAGCTTACCTTGTGTCTGACTTGGTTTGCTTGGGGACAAGCAAACGGTTAAGTGTGGGGGAATTTGATAACGATGTAATTGCACATATTTGCACCCCTAGTTCTTATCCGTTTGAGGGGCATAGTCGTGTATTTTTTGCCTATTTTACGCCGGGTTGTGCTACTTTGTCATATTTCAGGTCCCAGACGTCGAAGGAAAGGCTAAGCACGAGTTTCGTGGCATTCGGAAGTCATTCGGTCGAGCTGGAGCCAAAACACGGGCACGCCTAAATCAGAACACGGCCGTGTTCCTAGACCGTGCTTTTACTGCCGAGACTTGATCTGGGTTTAGCAAACACGGGCAGGACTGAGACAGAACACGGCCGTGTCCACCAAAAGCACGCCTGTGTTTTTCCCAAAAGGCTGGCCGTGTAATTAACACTTGGCAAGGGCACGGGCGGGCTGGAGCAGAACACGGCCGTGCCCTCGACCTTGTTTTGCCCAGTGATGCCCTTTTAAGAAGATTTCAGCTAAAATAGAAGGGGATTCGAGTTTTAGAGAGACAGAGCGATTCCTAGAGAGAGAAAGCGACGAGCAAGAGTTCCCAAGTGCCCTAGCTTGATCTTCATCACCATTGGAGCTTGGCTTGAGCTTGGAGAAGTGTCGATCAACGTCCAGGAGCAGAAATCCATCCTTCACAGTATGATTTCCGCGTCTGAATCTGCTTTTGCTTCTTTCTCCATGGAGTAGTTCTCCCATTCATCTGGGTATGGGAAACCCTAGATTTGTATGTTAGGTTTGATTGTATGAATCCAAGTACTGATTCTATGATTTGATTATATTCAATTGAGGTTTGAATGATTGAATGGCTTGAATCCTGATCAAATTCCTGTTGTTTCTGCTTTAACCTAGAATGAGAATATCTGCCTAGGTTGATAGAGCATCCTTGATTGAAGGTAGGGAGTTGGTGACTTTAGTCGAGGTGCCAACTCACTATTCTGTACCGAATTCACTTCGATAGTGGAGGTTTTGTTCGTTAGGGCCTCAATCTGTTTACTCCAGTGGAGGTTAGTCGCCCGCTAGAGACTCAGATTGAGAGGGTCTGGAGACCTTTAGTCGAGACTTCAGACTGCTTAAGAACCTTCCGCAGTATAACTATCATAGAAACTGAACTTGGTAATTGCAATCCGGCTTAACTGCAGTCTAGGGGGAACCATATCCGGGTGACCTCTCTTAACCTGAAAACAACCGTTTAGTTGCTTTGCTTGTTTGTTAGTTTATACCTGCACTAAAGTTTCATTGCTAGATAACAAGAATTCACCGAGTAGTCATCAAATCTAGGACCCGGGTTGACATTAAAACCCAAACCCGCTATACTACGCTTTAGGAAGTGGTTTCACTTGGCCAATTCCTAGAGTGACAGTAGAAGGCATAAAAACCCGCTATACTACGCTTTAGGAAGTGTTTTTGTTTTATAATTTTTCTGTTTGCTCCATGTGTTTGAGGAGCTTGAACTGAGTTTGTCGTGTGTTTTGTTCTTGTTTTTTGTGGATTGTTTCTTTTGTGGCCATCTGGGCCAACTCTAATCCCTAACGAACATGTGCTAGTGTGTTCTTGATGTTCCCTTAGTGCAGAACTGTCCGTTCGTTCCATGTGTCCCACGCTGACTGGTCCACTTCCAGTCCCCCGCAGCATTTCAATCCGGTAACATCGTTCCCCTTCTCTATCCCTCTGCTCCATTGAGGGCAATGTCGTGCTTAAGTGTGGGGGGGGTGCTTTGTATCGGTTGGAATGTATATACGTGTGCTTGGAGCCTAGTCCACTGTCCAAATCTCAAGATTTGAGGGCTCCAAGTACGGATGTTTGATCATATTGGCACTGTGTTTTGATTGGTGAATTGAATGGTTTTCGGATTAATGCATGACAACTGGATGGTGATTAGGACAACCTATAATGATGACTGAGACGTGCAGTAGAGTTGTGTAGGGTTCAGTTTTTCAACTGTTTGCTTACCAACTGTGACTTGGATTGATTACTTGTTCTTGACAGTCTCTTATGCATCTAGTTCAGGGAATCAGAATGAGAGATAGAGCATATAGGTAGCCATGTGAGATTTGAGCTTGCTCGTTTCTTTCTTGTGCGATAGTTCCCTCTTCCATGATGTGTAGCATTCACGTTGTCATTAGCTAAGATGATGGAGGCATAGGATTAGCCCACGACCAAATTGACTGTCCTGGTGTGTCATACCCCCTAGTCAACCCCTTTGAGCCGTGTGATTTTCCTTTCTTTCGGTCTTCAATGAAAAGTCACCCTTTTGCATCTTTTAGAAGGTTCCACAGAGTGATTTTTACATGTTCTCTGCTGTTTCTGCTAAATATAATGTGAGAGTTGGAGGTAGTTCTTAAAAAGTTGGGCAGGTGTTTGAAAATGTGCAGAGGTGGTGGTTCTCTTAAGAAATGAAAAAAATGAAAGAAAACAAAGGAAAAAATGAAAGCAAAAGAGAGCCACCACCAAAAATATGAATAGTGCCCATTAAGTAGTGTTTCTTAGCAGTCTGGCTTAAAAATACTGGTATTTTTGTGACCTCCTTCGCTCTTGTGCTCTGAATTTGAGTAATGCAGAATAGCAGAAAGAAAGTACTGGTTTGATTGACTGTGAGTTTGTTGGGTTTGGAATTGTGGAACCTTGTGCTTTGAATACTTCCACCACCTAAAAGGCCTTTTCCCCATGTCCAAGACCCTAGCCAGTCATTTGAACCTGTGTCTAAGACCTCCTAATTAGTTAGTGATGACAACCATTTATGTGAACTCTAACATTTAGAGGCTGCCGTCATGGTGAAGAGATGTTAGGAATTGAGAGAATAAGTATGCGCATTTTTCGCATCAAATTGTCCTGACCCCACTGGTCGAGAGTGAGTGATTCTTTTCCTTGTTCTTTACACTCTTTACCCGGTGATGACCTAGATGACTCGGTCTTGATTCTGATGTCTTGAGTTTTATGCATGAGTTGACTGTCTTGAGTAAGTGGTTGACTCAAGTCTAGGTTGGTTGATGAACAGAAGGGAGACTCCTCCTTTACTCGATTTTGCTGCACTCGAATGTCTTCTGTGGTGGTTGTCCAGGTTGCTATTGAGGTTGTTCATGTGTTGATGTTTGAAAACCAATATGATTCACGTGTTCTGTGCCTATATGATTTGTCCCCAATGTTGGTATGATTGAATTATGTGAGCTGACCTTGTGTCTGACTTGGTTTGCTTGGGGACAAGCAAACAGTTAAGTGTGGGGGAGTTTGATAAGCCGTTAATTGCACATGTTTTTACCCCTATTCTAGAGCCGTTTGAGATGGTAATTCTCGTGTTTTAGGCTGATTTCATGCTAGGTTGTGTTTGTTTGTGATATTTCAGGTCCTAGCAAGTGAATGAAGGTTTAGGAGCGAGTTCGGGGTCGATTGGACGAAGATCGGGCACGAGGCAAGTCAAAAAGGAGGCCACACGGGCACACCCACAACTCACACGGCCGTGCAAGTGACCACTTTGGCCGTGTGAGATTGTGCGAGCCTTCACACGGCCAGCCTTGATATTCACACGGGCGTGTGAAGTTGCACTTTGGCCGTGTGAGATTGTGCGAGGCTTCACACGGCCAGGCTGGGTGAGCTACACGGCCGTGTGACCCTGGCCGTGAGGGAAGCCTGAAACTCAATTATTCAGAACGCGGCGTTTTGACCTCACACGAGTTTTGAGAGCAAAAACAGAGCCCTAGAGAGAGAAAGTACGAAGAACACATCCTAGAAGCTATCTTGGAGCTGGGTTTCATCAAATCAAGCTTGGAGATCGTCATAGGAGTGGAAATCATCATCCCAGAGCAGATTTTCCTCATCTTTATGAGTATGACTACTCTGTATTCTGTTTTCCTCTCCCTCTCTATGGAGTAGAACCCTTCTCTCACTTGGGTATGAAGAACCCTAGTTCTATGTGTTAGGGATTTGATTGTAATGACTTGGGATGATATTACTGCTTGGTTTTAATCAAATGATGCATGTTTATTGAGTCAATTGAAGTCTGATCAGCTTTTCCTGATTCTGCTGCAACCGGAGATAGGTAGAATCTGATTAGGTTGTTAGAGCCTCATCATTCGGTAGTAGGAGATTGGCTATACGAGAGTTAGCCAGTTTACTGCTTTGTACTGGAATTCAATTCCAGTAGTGGAGTTCTGTTCTTACTGCTTCAGCTTTCTATCCCGGTGAAGACTAGTCGTCTGCCGGGTAGTTAGTCTGAGAGGGCTTGGTCAGTTTAAGAGATTCCAAGCTACTGTCGGATCTTCCGCAGTCTAATCAACAGTAAATCAACCCATGGAAATTACAATTGAAACCTAACTAAGGAGCTAGGGGGACTCATTCCCGAGTGACTCTTCTTTGCTTGAGAAAACCGTACCAATTCCTGCTTTCTTTCTGCTTTTGCTTTAAACAACAATCACTTGACTTAGTTGGCTAGATAATAGATAATCATTGAGTAAGCAGTAGATCTAGACCCCGGGTTGATAATATAACTTGCCACTTTACTGCATTCCCGGTCTGCGATTACACTTGGTCGCAGATTGGTGTTGTGTTTTGGAGTGTCAATCACATATGCACCCACTGTGCAGCAGATATGACTACCTCCACTAGTAGCAGTAATGGAATCAAAGAAATGTAATCCACCATGGGAGACAAAAATGAGCGGACAACTCGTCTATCAAACTACTACACCTATGACCCACCAAGGAAAAGAAGGCAAAGCACCAAGAATCAAACTAAAGGCAACATCAACCAAGGAGAAGAAGACAATGCATCAGGAATCAAACAAAGAAAATGACTAAAGATTCTTCTTTCTTTTTCTGATCAATAATGTAGTCCATAAGGCAAAAACGTGTGTTTGCTTTCTCTTTTGAGTGAAGAATGATGTAAGTACTTATGTAAGCAGGCAAAGCCCTACGCCTATAAATATGTACGTCTGAACCTCATAAAGGGGTAGAGTAGAATAAAAGTTTGAGAATTCTCTCTCAAAAGACTAAGTGTAATCTTGGTGCTTCAGCACAGAGCGGTTGAGGTAATACTCTGGAGTCGCTCGTATCCATTATCACCTATCCATAAAAACTATACACTAATCATTAAATATCACAAAGAATTCTCCAAAAACCATCTCAACGATCAACCAGTAATCAGCCTCCTTCGCACTACACCACCATGAAAACTTTCAACAGCAAGAAGTTGCATCATTCAACCTAAGCAACAATCAGGTATGTCAGATAACCCCAGTAGTAGCAACAGTTACTTTGATTATTTAAGTAAAAATGAGGAAGAAAATTATTTTCTAGATGGAATATTAGATGTCAAGAAAATTAAGGAACAAACAAATTTCACCTTATCATAAACGCAAAATTTTATTACTAAGTCTTTTTTATCCAAACTATCTGATAGGAAAAATATAATTAAATATGGAAAAATGATAGGAGAAACGGCAATACCAATAGAGCAAACTAAGGGAGATTTCCTAATTCAAATAATAAATAGAGAACAAATTAGGAAGAAATTATCCAAGTTACAACAGGAAGAAAGAAGTAAAATAGCTTATATTCACATTAGCACGATACAAATCATTCTAAAATCTACTATGAAAACAGGAATAAGTGCACCTATAGAACTAGAAATAAGAGATGATCGACTCATCAATAGAGAAGAGAGTATTATTGCAAAAGGAAAGGGAAATCTAGGAGTAGGAATAATCAAATTCGATATTAATTTACAACAAGAAATTAGTTTAACAGATGGGAATCTCGACTCTTCCATTATTATAAAGTATGAATTGAAAAGAAAAAATTTCATGAAAGAAAATAGTAAACCTTTTTCAGTAACATACCAGATAAACTATGCACTAACCAATAGTCATCATAGTCTAGCATTTAGGGACAAGGAAGCCATCACCATAGAAGATTTATTCAAACCATTAATTCAATTAGAATCCCCTCTAAAAGTAATAAAATCAAATTATGAACATCCAAGAATAAGTGTAGATGAGAGAGTCTCTTCCATGAGACTAACCGATAAGCAGAAGGAAAAGGAGAAAGAAGAAAACAAGGAAATAAAAAACATAACTATACTTCATCAAAATGATAATACTAGTGAAATAAAAAAGCTACAAGAACTAATCGTAGAAATGAGTGAAAAATTGTAAAAGATGCCTAACACTCATTACATAAATAAATTGATAGAAGGAATAGATGCAATAGACCTTACATCAGTAAACGACATTAATACGGTTACATTAGAATTATCCCACTTCGTATCAGATATTGTAGAAGAACAGATGTGTATCGGAAATTCGGAAACATTGGAAGAAGTCGTATCTAAAACTGAATTAATCACCGATATAATAACTAGTCTAAACAAAATAAAGCAGAAACTAGAAAATAGATAAAACCAAGTACAACAAAATGACTTTAGAACTCATACTCATAGAAGAAAATGAAATTGCGAAAGATTTTTTGTAAACATTGAAAGGATGTTTCCTTTGATGTTTTTGGACCATCTTTGTTTGGACCCTTTCATGAAGAGAAAAGAAAGCAAAGAAAATGAATTGATGAAAGGATGTTTCCTTTGTCATTTTTTGGTATCAGAACCTTCAAGACAAGCCCATAAAATGAAAGAGACTAATCCATTTAAATTAAAAAGCATTAAAATAATTAGTCCAATATTAAATTAAGAAAAAGTGCAACCCGATTCAACCCGACGGGCTCACTTTGTAACTAGTGCGGGTTGGCCACAGGTCATCACTTGGTCTTCAAATGACTTTGTAGTCTCTTAACTCTTGCCTTGCTTAGTACGTAGTTGAAGTTGACTAGTTATAGCTCATCCCGACTACTGCGGATTTGTCCACCTTTGATTATTCTATTCTTACGATCTTCATGTCGACAACTCATATTCTACTCTTACAATATTTTCATGATAATTTAGTGGCTGTCGTGCTTTGAGTGGAATCTGGAGGGGGGAAAACCATAAACAATAAGGGAAACGGAAAATGAATGCAAACCGCAGAAAATTGTACCTAAACATACAGATAAAATAATAATATGCAAAATAATCCTTAATAATGCAAAAAATTCTTTAAATCCAAGAAATAAATCTGCGGCTCGTCATTGGTAACGAGAAAAAGAAGAAACAAATACAAAAATTTCGTGTAACTACTTTTTAAAGTTTAGTTACAGCCTCCACCCTTGAATAGCCGCGCCATTATTTACACAAACTTGGCAGCCCTTTCCCAGATCAGACTCTTATTTGTGCATTATTGAGTTCCGTCTAACAGATGACGCAAGCATTTGGATCTTCCCCCGGAACGTGAGCGGCGCCGTATTGGTAAGGGTAATTGTTGTACCCCTTCTGTTGTTGATAAGGGTAATTGTGGTAATAGTAACCACCGTTGACCTGAGGCTGAGGAGCGTAATAATAGGGGACGACGGGAGGAGCAGAAGGGTTCTTCTTGTCTTTTCCTTCATCTTTCTTCCCTGCAGCGGCGGCGGCGGCCGGAGGCGTGTCTTTCTCCGGCTGCTTCGGTGGGCCCACCGAGACTACCTCCGTCGGGAACACTTTCCTGAGCTTGCTCGCTATCTTCACCGGATCCACGTTTCCGACCACCGTCATCTTCATGTCTTTCATATCCATCGACACCGAGTCAACCCCTGAGATCCCTGTGACTTTCTTCATCGCTCTCTGCTTGTCTCTGTCGTCGTGCAGATCCAGCTTAAGAACCACAACCTGTTCAGACAAAAAAGAATCAAGATTAGGAAACAGTAATTAAGCATACAAACGCTCAATCAGCAACCTACAACAGAATTGACCTATAGAGAATAGGTACCGCGCCTAATTGTAATGAACTCTTACCTTCATTTTGCCTTTGGACGAGAAGGGGGGAAAAACAGAGTGAGTGAGTGTGCTTCAGAGGAGGGATGGAATCGAGTAGGGCGAGATGTGGGAAGTTTGAGAGATTGGTGTTTAGAGCTTGGATGAGAAGCTTGGTGGGGTGAAGGTTTTGGTAATGGCGGTTTATATAAGGAGAATGGTTGCCATAAGTCAATTCGAGGTCGTCGCCGTGGCTTCCTTGCGGCTGCATCAGTCTGTGGTCAAGATTCAAGAAGCAATACAGTGATTGAATAAAATATTAAAATTTAAAAGGGAAAGAGTGGAGGGGTTTACGTGCGTAGGAAGCCCGAGAGGGCAATGTGCCCTTTTGGGCTTTTGGCCTATGAAAAAGAGATGACGCGTTTTCAACGCTCGAACCTTATTTCCCAACTTCTAGACTTTGTCGCCTTCTTCGTATCGTCGGAGCACCTTTCTTGGACCTTCTCTACTATCTGCTCACTGATTGGCTTTGTCAAATACAGTGAGCGTTTACTATTCTTGGGTGGGTGTTGTTATTGGGCCCAGGATTTGGAGAAAGAAACAACAAATTAACGGGCCCGGATTGTGAACTCTTCTCATATTGGGAGCAAGAATTACACTTTTTTTCAACTTACTCGGCATCTAATCTAAACCAAACAAGGTTACGAGGCAGTAAGCCCAAAGGAAAGGAGTGAATAAACCGAGGTTGACATTTGGGCTTCGGGACCCCTTGGCCTTGAGAAGCTGACTTCCGAGGAAAGTGGTTCAATCAAGCCTTTGGGTGTAGTGGGGTTCCAGAAATTCTACATTAGGGTGTACTCTCTCAAAAATTCATTTTAATTAAATATTAGAATTAAATAAATATTAAATATGAAAATATCTGACTAATAAAAGTTATATTAAAAACTCAGATGTGCTTCCTAAAATGGTAAAATACATTCGGTGTCTATACTGCTCAACAAATATCTCTCGACATATCCAACTAAACAAGGGTATCCCCTAATTGGGTTAATCGTTAGGTTCTGAAAATAATTTGGGATAAGAATAATATTTTACTATTATATTTGGATCTAAAACACAATAGCAAATGAGTTGTAGTGTAATTGAAAATATGTTTACTAATAGTGGCAGTGTTCCAAGTTTAAATCACATAGATTACTACTTAAATATTATTAATTTGTACCAGTACGCAAACTACTACGGAAGGTTGGATAATCCTAAGAGTGTCTCACTACCACTTAAACATTTTTTTTGCACATACACAACTACTATCGGAGGTTGAATAATCATGTTTTCAAATTCATGTATCCTTCACTGCTTGTGTGTAGGAGTGAAGGGCTGCAAATGAGATGAGTTGAGTGAAGTTTTGATTAAATTTGAGTTTGGTTTGCTAATAAACGATCAACTTGTTTACGAAAATTTTTGGCTTGTGCTTGACTCTAGTTTGGCTAATCAATTAGCTTGCGAGATCAGTTCGAGCTCAGGTGTCATAACTTGTAGTTAGTTATTTTTAATTATTGATATGATCTTACCAACTAGTAACTAGGTTAATCATGTCATCATCTCTTGAATAAGTGAATGTGAGCAAACCTAACTCATGGAATAAAGCAAATAAGGTGAGTTTTAGGGAAACTAGAAATAACAATAACATAGAGTCCCATCGATATCATTGTCGTTCAATACAATCTAAACCATACCAAGGGATAAACATACCGACAAAACTACAAAAGGTCTCGTATATGCAATTATGCATGTACCGTAAGAATGTGAGGTTGAAACATATCCCGATAGAAAAAAGCATGAAGCCGGAATCCAAATGTGTGCGAAGGAAGATGATAAATGAAGCCAAAAAGTTAGGCTTCGTGACACCACTCATTTCACTTATCGAACATTAGGCGAAACCGAGGAGTTAGGCCATCCTCTGTAAACACGTTACTTTTCCAATACGAGCCAAAGGTGAGAAAGGAAAGGGCAGAAAAGGGATCAACTTGCTTTAGCTGGATCCAAACGTTAACTCTTGTTTACTTCCAATATGGCAAATTACATCGTCTCGCGTCACAGCCCACAACCTCAAGTCGACGCCAAGCAGAGGGAGGCATTGGAGTGACAGTTTCATGTGGGTGGAAATGCAGGAGCAGAGAGGGAAGCCGTCGTGGGACCCACATCCGAAAATATCTTCCCCTTCGTGATCTCAGTGTTGGTGTTGGATCATGTGGCTTCGGTTGTTGGCCACTCAATCAATAGCCTGCTCGTAAGAACTACTGTACTGTACGACCGCGCCACGTGTCCTTCGCTCCGGCGGGCCAAAAGCTTTAATGGTATATATATATCTCTGTTTTGGACCTTTGGGCCGACCTTTATGCTTTATCCCCTTTACTCCGACGCCGGAGAGCGTTGGATAGTGAGATGGGAAAGGTGTGATCAGGTGGGATGGGGTCCACCGTAAGCTATTTGAGCTACCGTCTCAACGAGTTCAATTGTTGGTCGTTGCCCGTTGGAGTTTGGACCCAACGTGGGGAGTTGTTTGGTTCGTTCTGAGATCACTTCTCTTTGTAGTTCCTTTTGCTATGAAATTTTGTATGATGAAAAATCAAAATCACTTATAGTAGTGGTGGAGTTAGAAATTTAAATGAGGGGCTAAAAATCTACTTATAGAGAAATTGAATTTGCGAGAGAGGACTTAAGCCTACAAACTATTATATTTCTCAAAATTATAACGAAATTTACTTGTCATTTTACATTATTTAGAGAGTTAAGAGGGCTATATCCTTCTCTACCATCAATATGGTTCCACCACTCTCATGCAACACTACATTAATTGATATTTGGTTGGTTGAACTTAGGGTCGTAATACAATATTAAAAATTAGGACTCTATAATTTGTGGTTCGCCGCAATCAGGGTTGAAGTGTTATTCCTATGCATTGGATTCAATGTTTTTTTCTCAACCCGTCAAGTTTCACATTTAGTTTTAAATTTTGTCTTTATAAAAAATATATAAATTCAAAGATATTTGAATAATAATCATACTAAAGTGTCTAAATAGCAAAATTTTGTTAATTAGATTGACCGAAACTGACATAATATACAACTTTACCATCGTAAAAGTAATACATACGATACAAAAATTAAGAATAGGGACCTCCCTAATATGGAGAATTGAGCTAAACCTCAGATTCTTCTTAAATATTCAATTCGTGTTCTTAAGTACTTATCGTGAACCGACTTTATCAGGGTTCAGGGCTGTCTATACTCTATAGTCCATCGCTTAATTAAAGAAACAACCAGTTAATCACTATAGGGGAATCGGCCCACTATGGCCACGTGTCGTCTTGTAGTTCGACGAGCGGAACATTGACTCAAGAGAGCTCGAGAGCAGGCGATTATACCCCGGCGCCTCATATAAAGACCAGCCTCGCTGTCTCAACGAAAGCCGCATTTCTCCCGTCACTTCTAAAGCTAGAAGCCCGAAATTCCTTCTTTTTTTTTTCCCCCAACTTCCTCTCACAGCGCCAGAAATGGTGTCGATGAACCCGAACCCGGCCGAAGGGTTCTACCTGGATCCTAACGGAATGGCGCTCCCCGGGCTCGGCCCTTTCGCCAGCTCTACCGCGGAGGCCTCCAACCCGCCGGCGAGTTCCGCCGTCGAGGATCCGAGCAAGAAGGTCCGGAAGCCTTACACCATCACCAAGTCGAGGGAGAACTGGACCGAGCCGGAGCACGATAAGTTTCTCGAAGCTCTCCAGCTGTAAGTTCTTCTCTGCTGTAGTCTCGACTCTCCGGAGTCAGTTCGAGTTTGTCCTTAAGTTCAATTTAGGGTTCGTCGTGTGAAAATGGAGCTCGAGGCGCAGAATTTAAGCTAGCGTATTGCGAATTAGGCTATAGTTGGTGGCTACGCGAGATCGGTTTTAGTGAATTTGGCTGTATTGTGGAGTTGGAGCTGTTACTTTGATGATTATGGAGATGGATACGGCGGATTGAGCTTTTTTATGAGATGGAGACACTGTTCCACATTTCGTTTTCGGATTCTGGTATTCCAGTGCATTTTCCTTATATTGAAGTGCGTAACCTGAGAATCCCACTAGCGGTGGGAGAAATGTGTCCTTAGGAAGGTGATGACTGTTTCTGGAAGCTACCTAGGGAATTGTTTAAGGCTTATCGAGCTGATGATGTAGGTAGACCATGAATGTTTCCGGAAGCTACGTAAAGAGTTCTTTACTTCTTTAAAAGGTTTATTGAGCTACTGGTTTAGGTAGATGCTGGCTGTTGCTCAAAGCTTAATTCATAATTCTTTAAGCTTTATCCAGCTCATGATGTTGATGTCGATGGACTGAAACAATAGTTAAAAACATCTGAATGCAAGATGTAATTGTGAATTTCCGGAACCTTAGAAGTGCTGCCATGAGAACTCAATAGGTTGTCTTAGTCTCCTAGAGTCGGTGGTGATGCGATTTAGCAGTCAGATCTGGATTACTGTTCCGTTTCCCAACAGTATTACACGTGATTATGTTCAAATAGTTCCTATGGCATTTTTGTCAGCAGAATGAACTCCTGGATTTTGACTTTATTTTATGGCAGTGTTGTCTTTAGTATGCTTTTGTGGCTTTTGTTGTCAGTTGGTAACTTTTAGCGCACGCTCCTTTGTTCTTGTGATCCTTGTAGTTTCGACCGAGATTGGAAGAAGATTGAGGCATTTATTGGATCCAAGACTGTTATTCAGGTATGTTACAACTGTTTCGCGGTTTAGTGAGGAACAGTCTCATAATGTGTGTTCAAGGAGTAGAGATATATCTTTACTTCAAGTTTTAATAATTGCTGCTGTCATTAAAGCAAGAATGCTTTCATTATGAATTTCGTTATTTCATTGGCAGCTAAAGGAGTAATGAGATTACTTGAACTGTGTTACTCTAGTTTCTGGTCATGGTGCCTTCAGATCTGGAACTTAATTTTGTGCTATGTTGTTTTCATGCAAGATTACGTTCAGTGTTGTTGGTATCAGCCTGCTGAAATTTAGAATGTACCTTTTGCAGATACGCAGTCATGCTCAGAAGTACTTCTTAAAGGTTCAGAAAAGTGGAACGGGTGAACATCTGCCTCCTCCCCGGCCTAAAAGGAAAGCTGCTCATCCATATCCTCAAAAGGCCTCAAAAAGTGGTAAGATGTGTTGACTTTCGTATGACTATTAAACAGCCTGGAAATGTGTGCTGATAAGGATTGTATCCCCTTATGCTGTGTCTTTAAAAAACAGCAGTTGCAGTGCTTCCACAATCTTCTGGATCTGTTCAGTCATCATCTGCTCTTCTTGAGCCCAGTGTTCCACCCGACTCCCCTTCAATGCCATTGAACCCTATTACAAGTGCAGCTGAAGTATCCTGGAAAAACAACATCCCAGCAGTGTCTTTGTCGAACCAAGGAAAAGGTTTATAAAATCAAAGCTTACTCATCCTTTTTTACTGGTTTTTTGGTAGTTGGCTTTGGTTAAAATTAGCAAAAAAGTGGAAAACTTTGGTCACCAGTGTTTCTTTATCTTTTCTGTCTTGTAGCCCCATCTTTGTCAAATAATTGTTGTAGCAGCACTGAGAGTACTCCAAGAACAAAACAAGTAGTTGAAGTGGCCGAGCAAGCAAATCCGTTAAGAGGTACATATTCAATGCCAATTCTTACTACTGTGGACTAGCCAAGTTGGGTACTGTATTTGTCATCTATTAGCATATTGGCTTTGGAACCGTCTTTAGGTAGCTTTTGTAGCATGGTTAATGAGTACATGAATAACTGTCTATCCGTAGATTTATAAGTGGCATTTCTTCCTTTCTGTCTCTCTACATGGAGTGAGATGTCCTCTAGAGAACATGGTCTTTGGGCTTTTCTTAGTCTGCTTCTGCCTTCAGAGGAGATAGATTCACAGGGTTTCTATTTGTCTTTCCTGGATCATCCTATTATAGTGCACTTAAATTCTGCATTAGTTGTATAGCTGGGAAGTGTTTGTTACCTTTTTTCCCCATTATATATTGGAGATGGTCCCAAGTTTGAACTTGGGAGGTAAATAGTTTTGATCTGCCACTACTACTATCTCTTTGGGCATGTGCTACTGCATTTTCTTCTTTGAACTGCTACTCCAAGCTCAGATAACAAGGCAGTCAGCATTACATATAATTTACGGCTGTTTAATAGTCCTAGTTGAACAATGATTGTTTTTGGTGGAGTTGTACTCATCTGATCATATTTGATAGCTTTTCGAACTTCGGAGTTCATGCTGCTATCTATCCCAATGTGATCATGCAATTGCTTTTCTCAATTCCTTGCCACTAAAAGGCTTTTTTCTATTGTGACTAAATTATTTCTGGGTGCTCTGCGGTTTTGTTTGATTGCAGTTCTGCCAGACTTTTCGCAAGTCTACACCTTCATTGGCAGTGTCTTTGATCCAAATGCCGTTGACCATTTGCAGAAGCTTAAGAAAATGGACCCTATAGATGTTGACACGGTATGATTATGCGAATCAGCTTCTGTAGCACATTTTTACGATCGTTCTGAAATGTTTTTTATTGTCTATATTTATTGAAATTCTTTTTATGCATGTGACTTTTCTGTGTACTGTTATTAGACTAGCAGATTGGTTTTCATAGCATGACTTTTTTCCTATCCTGTCCTTTTCAGACGCTGTTGCTGATGCGAAACCTATCCATTAATTTAACCAGTCCCGATTTCGAGGATCATGTAAGTGCCTTTTACACTTGATTTCACTTTCCTGCTCGAGTGACCTATTCGTAGTTTATTTTATTCGGTCGTCTGCATAATCATCTGTCTGTCTTGTCACTGGTGCCTTACACCAGCTGCCATTGTTATTAAATATGTAGTCTCCTCTCCCTTTCTGTTATTTTAAGTATAGTCATCCAGTGAAGCTTTACTGTAGATTTTCATGTAGTTTCAGTTAGACCTAATATTCATTAGTTCCCTAAATACTAGATAGTGTAGTGAAGCAGGGGAAAATGCAGTTTTACAGTCTTCCTTATTTCGTAGAAATGCTACAGGCTGGTTTGTAGCATACCTTCATATACTTCCACCTTATAATTAACTGGACTTCATCTCGTGAAATTTCCTATAACATGTTTCATAACGGTTTCCATTCATCTTCACATTACGTTCAAATTTTCCGCATCAGTAAAAAGCAGGAGTTATAAAGATCATTAAGTGCATCAAGAAATGTTTAGTTGATCGAACTCATTAGTATTTGGCACCTTCATTTCTGTCCCTTGGCCTTGAGTAAGTGGTAATCATTTAGGGTCTCTGTGACATGGTGTAATTTTGCATGGCAGAGAAGGCTGCTTGCTTCCTACAACACAGATGCGAACAGGATATGAACTGTTGCTTGATCCGGGCGAGGTGAATTGGCCGGACCGTGAGGGTCATTAAAAACTTCTACCACCAACAATTAAAGGTGCACGACGCGCTCTCTAACCGCCCACCAGTTCCCCGTCTTTGGCCAGGCCTTCGGCCTTGTTGTAATCTCACAGGTAGTGTGTATATGGGATTCGAAGAAGAGGCGAAACAATAACTACCAGCAGCTGCTGCTGCTCCAGAGTGCGGGTGTAATTAGTGGTTCCTGGTAAAGGCCTTGCTGTACAGCTCCTCCTGCGATGGAGGAAAGAAGGAATTCACGCAGCTAATTAATGAGAGTATGTAATTAAAGTTTTGATTACAAGCTTGTTCAGCCGTTGTTAAGTGTAATTAACTCATCCTCCACAATCACCTTTAACGCCTTCCTACGTGCAACCTGGGGTGCCTGTCTGAGTTTTTGCATCCCGGTTCTTTGCTGTAGCCTGTTAAGAATTGAGTATAAGCCTTCTGAGAGCTCATTTTAACTTTGAGCCAGGCCTTGGTGGTAGGAACCTTAGCTAGCGACATTTGAATACTAATGTTCCAATTCCATGGCCTCGCTGAAACTCAAAATTTTTTCTTCTGTTCATATGTCGAGCTCCCGAGTTCTGACTTCGAGGAACTAGAGCGAATCTATTCAAACAGCAGAGTCGGCACATCAACGGAACTTGGTAGATTATTTAGTGTCTCGGCTTAGGGAGTGAAATGGATTTATCTAATGTGACAACTGAAATTGCTTCACTATGTAGAACCCATCATGCATCTTTTGCAAATTCACACAGCTGGATCGTATTTTCGAGCAGGATTATCAAGATTCCTGCCACTCGGATATTCACAATGGAAAGACAACTGATTTGGTACAGGTTTTAGGGAAAAAAAATTGAAAATATGATTGTGTATTCAATTTTCCTGTCCGAGGTTGACCAGATACACAAATTCGACTCAGCTCCACTGGAGATGTTAAGAGTATACTATTGTAAAGGTCTTTGCTACCTTGAACATTTACTACCATAGGCTACTATCCGCTTCACATGCTCCCCTTGTTTCTTTCCAGCATTGGGAAATTCCTAATCCTCAGCTAATTCAACTATAACCCTAATTTTGGTACTTCTAACCAACATATATGGTTACGTATCTAGCTCAGAGACTAACTCTAATCAGAAGTGTCTGATTTCTAAAAGCAAATCCTGACTGCAATGAGGTGTATAAGACGGTAACTAGACATGTTGCTCACCTACGACGTCCAATAAGATCTAAGCGTTGCCGAACCAAGGCCACCCCAAGTTCTGATCTGCAAACAAAGGCAAAAATAACTAACCAATTAGAGTAGACTCAGTTGAAATCAATCACTTGAGGCAAAAACATATGAAGTCAGGTTTTTACTCTACTTTTTCCTTTTACCTGGTCTGGCCAATAGGTTCGTATAGATGTGGACCTGATTACCAAAGGGGTAACACATGGTAGGAGGATAGGGCCCCATCTGATGCATAGGATGCGGCGGCGGCAGCCGAGGAGGCAGGACAGGGAACCATGGCCCCATACCAGGAGGAGGTGGAGGAGGAGAACATATCATTGGTCCCATAGGCTTTGGAGCATAAACACATTTGGTCTGCTTCTTGTTCTCTGATTTCCTCCGACAGCCAAGCAACGGTGGGCAGGACTGCTGCTTACACAGTTCGCCGCCGGAGGCTTCATCCATTGGACATAAGAAGTCGTCGATAGTAATCAAACTGTCTTCGTCCGGCCAGCAGATTTCATCGCTTGTATGAGGCTTCTCATGGAAGTGGGGGGCAGCTGAGTCTACTGAAGTTTCCTGTTCAGTTGGAACTTCTGGAGTCACTTCATCAGCATGCTCATCGTCCTTAAGGATCGTCTCATTGCAGCTTGAAGCGTCGACTTCGGATGGAAGAACCATGCCATCGTCACGGGAGGCCGGAATTGGTCTCTGCCCTCCAAGGTCGAACTCGGAGAAACCCAGCATCGAGAGGTCCTGGCTACACCGCAGCTCAGTAAACTGGCACGCAATTTCTTCCTCTATTAAAGCAAGGAGATCCTGATAGTCGGCATCATCGATCTCTGGATTGTCTTGCGTAGGACCAGAAGGGTTTGCACAAATAGTTGCTTTGTTGTCCCATTCATGCAGTTGTTGGTGATAGACAGGGGCAGGAGTAGTAGATGTGTGGGACTGGCATGTACCTTCCTTACTTTCTGAAGGGATACTTGTCAATGGCTGCTCGTTCAGCTTTTTGGCGTGATCCATAGGTGCTTCTCCTGTTCCATGTTTGCCGTTGGTATTGGACATGCTATTGCCCGCTGGCTTAACCCAAGATAGGAAGTAAGGACAGGATATGGTGGTCTGGCCGGCCTTACTCTGCGAAGGAAACATACAGAATGTCAGCTTATGCTAAACTTACTAAACCCTACAACTTCCAAGCTTTGGAAACCAAAAACGAGTGCCTCTTTTTATGGCTAACAGAAGATGCTGTAAATAAACTGAAAACATAATGCACTGGTTCCTGGAAGACTTCTACATTTGCAGGAAGGAGAGCTGACCAAAGTTCTTTCCCCAATTTAACATTGGTACTTGATTTTATCAACCATCATATATAGATTAAGCCAAAAGTTACGTTCATCAGATGTTTGAAAAGCTTGTCTATCTCCATCATACTTGATTTTGTTAAGTTCACTAAGCCAAAGTTATGCTTAGGGGTAGTAAGAACTTTATGGGATTAAAATACCTTCAGTTTCTCGGATGTCCAACTTTCGCCAACTTCATACTTCTGGGAATCTCCTGAGCCTGTGGCGTTACTTGGCTCCTGGTTTACTTTCTGATCATCTGAAATGTTCTTCTGAGTCTCCTGAGTTACTTGACGATCACTCCACAATGATTCAGATGTTTCTGAGCATATTCATAAAGAGAATAATATTTAAGACAATTGTAGGCTGTAGCATGTAGGCAAAGAAATGCAGGAACTTGCAAAAGAATATAACTCCATCTGAGAAGCTTACCCTTCTGTTTTTCCACTTCAGTCCTCCGTGGTCTCAAGGAATCAAATGTTTTCTCTCTGCCATTGTCCATTTTCTCTGTCTCAGAATGGAGATCCATCTGAAAGACACAGGACCCGAAAATTCATAACAGATCAGGATGTCAACTTCACGCGTATCCTTAAAATTCCTAGGCTTACCCTGTATAGATGTGGAGGCCGATATGGTGTAGCACTTCGGGTTAGCAGATGACAGGTACTACCCTCGTGAATCTTTGGAGCAGAGTCAACAGCAATAGGTTCAGGTGCTGGCAGGAGAGCACCCTTCCCTAAAATTCCACTTTCAGGATTGTTCTTCCCTAGAGTTCCACTTTCAAAAGTATTCTTCCCTAAAATTACACTGTCATGATGATTCTTCCCTAAAATTCCACTTTCAGGATTGTTCTGCCCTAGAGCTCCACTTTCAGAAGTATTCTTCCCTGAAATTACACTGTCTGGATGATTCTTCCCTAAAATTCCATTTTCAGGACTAACTCTCCAACTAGTTGATAGAATGTTGCCATCCCATCTCGCAAACTCTGCATTTCAACAAAGTAGGATAGTATTACACAGGGCCAGCTGGACCATATACATTAACTTTCGAAGAGGGAAGACACAACAAGGGAAGCAACTAGGCATGGCAAGCATCAATGAAATGATGCATTTACAGAACATCAGACCATCACAACCAACCACAAACACCATCCACCTCTTCTCTGGAGCTAAGGTAGTAAACTTTTTATCTCAACAACCACTATAATGCAAGTTGCAAACAACTTTTATTAGATAGATCGTTAAGATTTGGAACATCCACATTGGTAGTCTATATGAGGATAGAACTATCCCTTCTATTGGAATTCAGAATTCAGTCCTTCCAAGGCTTCCACCTTTTGGTGGAAGGCGTAAACCAGCTCGGTTGAGAAAGGGTAGAGCAGCTACAAACAACCTAAACTATACACTAAAAAGTAGTTAACCAAGTGAAGAAGAGGTCTTATGAATTCCTATTTACTTACTTCCATTCAAGAACCAATTCAAAATTGTCTAGACTGATTTGCATGGTTCAATCTATGCATCACCCTAGGCTACTACTCACAATAACTGTAGGACTGGTTCTAGGTTCGTAAGCATCAAATATTAAAGAAAAGACGCTTGCCTAAGCTTGTCAACTCAAATTCACGATTCTACTAGAGCGTTCACAGAACTAAAACCTGAAAGATCAGAACAAGAGATGAAATAAAGTCAAATGCGGAACAAAAGCTATGCCATAGATCGTACCAGACTCGGTCTTCGGCTGCGGCCAAATTGTAGGGCGTTCGTCAAGCTCACTGTCCAAAGATTATAAGGAATTAAACAACAGATGCAGTGATAGCTGAACTTATATGAGCACTTCAAAGCTAACGCGCACAGGTAGATCGCAATCTTACCGCAATATCTCGGAATCGAAGTTGCAAGGCAGCCTCTGGCATATATCCAACACAGCTATGGACAAGAGAAAATCCGCTGAATACGCAAACTTCGAGCCTCTGTAAGCGAACGAAAGAAAGTATAAACGGATGTTAGCTCAGGAAGGAAGAAAAAGAAGGCCGTTATAACTGAAAAACACTAGACGTGTTTGATTGCCGAGAAAATCGTTTTCCCGTCCGTCGCGTCAACTTTCTCGGCGAAAAAAAGAGAGACTAAATCAACATGAGAAACTTGACGATTGAGAGAAACAGAGTCGAAATTTTACTTGCTGAACGATGGCGCAAGGTCGCCATCATCTGCTCCTGATTCCTCCAGCAAGCCTTCAGACGGAGCTCCGGCGCTCATTTTCTTGAAAGCTCCAAGAACTGTGCCAGCTAGGGACGAGTTCGTCCTTGAGTAGTCTACTGAGAATCAAAATCCCGGCGCTGAACGATCAAAGACGTCTAATCTAAAATGCAGTTGACTAACCCTAACTCTTCAAAACCTCTACCCCGGAAATCTCAGTTTTACGACTCTGCTGTGCGATCAAAAGAACGGAAACGGCGAGAGAACTACAATCGGAATGTGAGGAATCAACCGGCGGAGTTGGCATTCACCAACAAGACCAAAAGAAAATGAAAAGACTCCATGAGTGAGCTCTATAGACTGCTAAAATGTGTTTGGCGAGAGAGAAATGGAGGGAAAATTAGCGTGATGGAGGGAGGGGGAATAACTCCGGGGCTCTGTCACTCTTCAGACTGGGTAGAAAAGGAAGACTGAAGCTGGCAGTAGTAGTACCTGCGTTTCTTGCCATTTTCACAGATTAAGCGACTGGCTAGTTGTACGTTTTGCTAGGCCTATAGACATAGGGCCCCGCTTTTAGGAATTTTAGTTGGCTGTGATCAGCTGTGGACAGTCTCTTTTGGGGTAAAAGTTGATCAACGGCAGAAGATGAAGCAGATTGTCATTTGCATAGTGATTTGGACGGTCTAGAATGAATGCGAAGTTTGTCCAATGGATTGACTTGTAGCCCACGCAGGCACCAAGGGGTAGAGAGTCAGAGGGGAAATTTTACATCAAGTCATGGGCTAACAACAAATATGTTTTGATTTCTTTTGGCTCGTGTTAACAAAATTTCTAATAATATTCATGTTATGTTTTTCATGTAACAAGTTTATTTAAATTAGTTTGTATTCATACGAAGAACCTATTTACATCTAATTTTCCAAATCGATCAACTAATTTTTTTATGCAATCTCATCATTTAATCACAGAATTTAACAATCTAGTTACAATAAATATTTTTAATTAGCTTAGCAACTTGTGCGCAAGGACCTCTGCATAGAAATAAAATATTTTTCAGTTTAAACATGTCAACTATTCTTGCAGAAAAAGGTAAAGACGTATATAGGGGACGAGATACGGTGACAATCAAGAGTATTTTGGGTATGAAAAAAAGAATATATTAATTACTTTTTTGTATTAATTAGATTGGGAATTAAAAACTCATATTAAATATAATTTTTATTGAAATTTAAATCCTATACATAAATATCTCTATCTATCTCCCTCTCTTCCTTTCTCATGCGGCCACTCCGCTTCGATGGACAAACTTTTTCTCCGGCGAATTCTCTCCAGCAGACTCCCTCCGACAACCTGAAAAATGTACCAGTGCGTTAACAAGTGTACCAATCCATTAGTCTACTGGTAATTAATATACCAGTCCTAGTGGTACGCTACTAGTACATTAAAAAAATGTACCAGTACTAGTGGTACGCTATTAGCATAGTTAGTAAATACTCCGTTTAATACACGTATATGTACCCGTACGTACTTTATCCGTTTAAAACTTCCGTATCCGTATTATTGTCAAGCTGTTTCATTTTCCCCTGTTCATTTGATGATGCCCGTACTAAACACGTATAAAACCCGTATAACACGTTTATTATCCGTATTTTATGAATTAAATTGTTAACTTTAGTATTATTTATATTTTTATTTATTTTTAAAATGATTAATTTTATATATTTATGACTATTAACGTACTATTAAACGTACTTTAGCTTAGAGACAAAGTATAATACCCGTACGTATTTTTTACGTAACTTTCCCGTACCGTATTTTACTAACTATGGCTATTAGTGCTAGTGGTACGCTACAAGTACTAGTGGTACGCTACCAATGCTAGTGGTACGGTACCATTACCACTTGTAGCGGTACCATTAGCAGTACCAGTATCACTGGTAGCGGTATCATTGCCACTGGTAGCGTACCACTAGAGACTAGCAAAAAAAAAAGATCTGAAATATGAAAAATCACATATCTGGAAAAAAAATAAGGGATGACGAAAGGGGAGGCAGGGGAGAGGCGGTGACCTCGTGGCGACGATGGTGGTGGGAGACAGAGGGCTGCAGGAGGGTTGCGATGACGATGGTGGTGGGAGGAGGAGGTCGCGATGGCTGCGGGGCGGTGGTGGGAGGAGGAGGTCGCGATGGCTGCGGGGCGAGGGACGTGACAGTGCTGGGAGGCGGAGGGCTGCAGCAGTCATGAGAGGCGGAGGGCGTGGCAGGTCGGCAGGATGGGCTGCAACGACGGTGGTGGCAGCCGATATATATATATATATAGAGAGAGAGAGAGAGGGAAGAGATGGGAGGAAGAAGAAGAATAGGAAGAAGAAAGATGGTGTGAGACAGAGAGAGGAAAGAGAGAATGTAGGGTTTTAGGTATTAATAGGGTAATAATCTAGTGTGATCAATTTTTTCGTCCAAAAATACCTTTAATCCAATCTGTACCATTGATTTTAAAAAAAAAGAATAAAGAGACAAGAGAGAAAGAACGAATCCTATGGTTATAAAAATGAGTTGTCAATCTCACAACCCCCTAATGGGGTTGTCACCTTATCTCATCCCGTATAATAGGTAGTGCGGATTTTATTTAGGAGAGGGATCGAGAGAAGATAAGAGAATAAATTTTGTTTATCAACATTATATATTAATAGCAAACAAAACAATTAATTTCAATAAGTTATATATAATGCTAATAAATTATATTAATTATATAGTTTTAGCTCCTGCCAATTGATTGATTGATTTTGACCCTAATATGCAATGCAATTGAAAGAAATAAACCCACAGCAGCCCTTGGTACTGTACACGCAGACACCTTTTACTGTACAATGTGACTGACACGCTAAAACACAACACCTAACAATGGCCAAGTGTAACCAATGAAAGAGACTGCAGTATAGTGGCACAAGTAATAAATATCGAATCCACGGGTCTCTAGAGTTACTATTACTCAGCTTCAGTTCATTATCTAGCAAACTAGATTAAGGATTGATTAACCAAACTACTCTACTAACTAAACTAAGTAAAACTACTAATTACAGTTTGGGAACTCACTTAGGTATGATTCCCCCTAACTCCTCAATTAGGTCCAAGTTGTAATTCCTTTTGGTTGTTTTACTGTTGATTAAACTGCGGAAGATCCGACAGTAGCTTGGAATCTCTTAAGCTGACCAAACCCTCTCAGTCGAACTATCCGGCAGACGACTAGTCTTCACCGGGATAGAAAGCTGAAGCAATAAGCACAGAACTCCACTACTGGAATTGGATTCCAGTACAAAGCAGTAAACTGGCTAACTCTCGTATAGCCAATCTCCTACTACCGAATGATGAGACTCTAGCAACCTAATAAGATTCTATATATCTCAGATTGCAGCAGGAATCAGGAAAAGTTGATCAGACTTCAATTGACTCAATAAACATGCATCATTCGATTATAATCAAACAATAAAGCATCCAAAACTTCATACAAGAAAGATCCTAACTCATGGAACTAGGGTTCCTCAAAACCTAAGTGAAAGGAAGTTACTCCATAGAGAAGAGAGAGACTGCAGAAATCTGATCTAGATCTTCAATCTCCATCTCCAAGCTTGATTCCCGAGCTTCAATGGCGAAGAAATCCTCCAAGATAGCTCCAAGAACGTTCCCAAGTCGCTCTCTCTCTCTAGGGTTCGTCCCTTGGGTGTTTGGGATCCAAACCCAGCTCTCTCTCCCTCCTTTTGCTGAAAATCGGGTTTTAAATAGCAATTCCCGACTCACACGGCCAGGCCACACGGCCGTGTGGCTTTCCCAGCTGCCCGTGTGAAGGCTCGGTGATTTCCACACGGCCACATGGCCAGGTCACACGGCCGTGTGGGTTGTGCCCGTGTGGCTTGCTCAGCCTCTGTTTAATGCTTCGTTTCTCCCTCGTTCGGACTCCGAATCAGTCGCCGTTTGATCCCAGACGCTCGTAGTCTCGTCCTCTTTCTTTTCATGACAAGCTTGCATGATTCTTTGTCCATAAAGTGAGGTAGAAATCCATTCTTCTTCAGGTCATACCCGAGTTTCTTCTCCCGAATCGTCAATTGATCTCTGATTGACTTGAAACTTGCGCCTATGCTTCACTTTATGTGCTAGGACCTGAAATGTGACAAAGGAACACAACCTAGCGTAAAATAGGCCAAAGACACGATAATTCAAGCTCAAACAATCAAGAAACAAAGGGGAAAACATGTGCAAATACCGAGTCATCAGTGACTGAGAATTACTGTTTCAAACTGGCGTGGGCTGGCGTGTGGGCTGTTGTTGGGTGAGGCCTCATTGGGATTTGACGGAGTTTGGGGGCTCGGTCGGGGTGGGACTGGTCGTTAGCTTCTGGTTGGCCTTAGTTGGGGTCGTTTGGTGGCCCGGACGCGCGTTGGTCATCAGAGATCGGTATGTGACTTTGCCCCTAGAGGGTGCGCCGGTCGAGGCTTAATCAGTTGCTCTGGGTGTTCTGCTCAGTGGAGATTTTGAGTCGTTCGAGAGACAGAAAAGGATTCTTCAGATACACAGAGAGATATTGAGAGGGATGGGCTCGCGTTGTTCGATGCAGAGAGAGGCTTAGAGAGGCTGGAGCCTGGAGGGTTTTGGGGAAAGTACTGAAGTGACTGAGCTCTGCAGACCTTCTTTTTCTTCTGATAGTGACTCGACCCTGTTAGGGAAAAAAAGGGTGTGCGTCTCGAGGTGTCAGGGAGCAAAAGGAAGCTTTTTTCTATCAATTCGTCGGGAGGGGAGATCAGAAACCACTCTTCCTTTACCTTTTCCCTTTCTTCCTTGGTCTCCCTTCTTCCCAATTCCCAAATCTCCCTCTCGCTCCTCTATCTCACTTCCAGATATCCTCTGAACCGCCTCTCACCGAAGAACTAAAGTGGCGCCCCTGTCGCTATGATTATCTCTCGATCTCTCCTCTCAGCTCTGCCGGTGCAATCGAAGAACCGCTGAGCATTCTCCCCTTTGAGTTTGGCTGAGGAAATTAGAGTCTTGCAGGCCATTGACGGGATGGGGTTCGCAAAGCACCAGCCGATGCGCATGATTCCTTTTCTCCCCAGGAAAAGAACACTGATTGCAGTTTCCCTGAAACTAAAATGTTATAGGTGATCTTCTTTCTGCTCTCTTTATAGTTCTCTTGTGGTTTTTGGTGAGTCTGGGATTCATTCTCTCTAGGGATTTCTTTGATCGCAGATAGAATAAGACATCTTCTCTCCATCTCCTTCTCACAAGTCTGTGGGTGCGACTAGACAGCGGAGCCCCGCATCTCGGCGATGATGTATTGCAAGAATCCCGACAAACGTTTGCATGATCGAGCCCTTGAAGTTTCTTTGTAGGTTTGTCTCTCTTTTATGCTCTGATTTCTCCCTCTGTCTTCGGCTTTCAATCTAACCTTTTCTTCTCTTTTGTGGTCGTTGTTTGCATGTACTCCCCTTTGCAATCGGTTCCTTGGAAGTGGGGTTGAGGGAAGGTAAACTTGAACAGTCTTGGCATCATCAGTTCTCAGCCTATTTCGATGTGAGCGGTTCGCTCTTCGATTTTGATGATTTTGCTTTGATTGTTGTACTTTGTAGCTTTGGGTTGATGTTGTAGTAGCTTCCGGGTAGCGGTGATCGTGAGAAACAAAGGATTGTTTTGATGGGGAACCGTCGCTTTCTCTTTAAGGTGATTCATGTTTAGTTCCTTTTCCACTCTCAAGATTGGGCTTATTTTGTCTTTTAATGAGTTTGTTGTCTCTTTTCCTCATTTGGTGTTTGTGTGGTTGAAGGAACCTGTGGTGCGAAGCTTGGTAGCTGAAGTCGATCATGATCAATTGATGGGTGGCGATAGTTTTTATTTAGAGGTGATGAGAAATTGAGAATCACAATACAACACAGAGGAGTTCCTTTTCAATTTTGATCTATTATAGTAAGCAATTGCATCGTCTAATTCTCCTCTATTTTTGTTTTAGTTATCTACAAAGAAGAAGGGTGGCCACCTAAGGATAAGCGGGCATTGACGGTGCTGGGGATCACAAAGTAGGCCAGGGAACTCGAAACAGAGAGCCTCAGGTTAGCTTTCTTGCGTTATGTCCTTTGTTTTCTGTGGAGCATGGAAATTGGCCACAAGGATTTCGTCGCAAGGCAAGAAGGACGAAGAGGAAGGCTAGATGCGAAAGAGTCGAACTGCAGGCAGGCATGAATACTAACAACCATCATCAACCTCATCAGGTCATTCTTCAGCCGCAAACGCCACCACCAATGCCGCCGCGGCTGTCGCGGTACATTGTTGTTTCCCATTAGAGCACTGCAGCAGAAGATCATAGAACTGGTCATGGAATCCCCCGCTCATAATTTCGGTGGTGTTTGCTACAAAGGTGAATTCTCCCCTTCTTTTAGCTTTGCAAGTTGGGTTTTGTGTTTAATTCTAAATAGGTCAGAATTGATTCTTAATGTAGTAACTGTGAAGTTCAATGCTTTCTTATGCTCAGGGTGGGTACAGGGAATTCATCTATAGGTCTTAGATAGGCTATTCAATTGAACAAAGCATTAGGTTCGGGTTGCTATATACATCATGATGCTATTTGTGGATTCATCCTTCATGACAAATTGGCATATTGACTTTGATAATTGTGGATTGAATTGAAGGGTGGGGCAGTGCACCTATTTCTTCAAAGGAAGGGTCCACATTTGAAGAAGGGTCCGCAACATCTTTTTTAATGCCGATCAGAAGGAAACATCTTTTGTATATGTATGATGGGGAGATAATTATTTGGTATTTGTGGTTTCAGGCTGTCTATCCACGGTGGAGAAGAAGAACCATAACAGATGGTGACTAGATCCTCGACCGGGAAATCAGAGTTCCGGTGAGATCTCGAACTCAACTTTTGTACCTTTCTTTCTCATGATATCCAGTTCGTGATTCCTTTTTCTTCCCTTGCACTTACAGATCTGCTGGAAGTCTTGATTGGTTGAGTGTCCGCCGCAAAATCGTATTTCCATCGGAGAAAGTGATTGGATAGATCGGTAAAGGTTAGTCACCCTCCTCTATTACTCCATTCCATCTCTTTTTTTCTTCTCCCTGCTCCTGTTATCTATCCCAGTACGCTTTCTGGTCTAACTTTTGTTTGGTTTTTGAGGGCAGTCCTGTATTATGGAGCTGAAAACTTGAGGACGATACAACAAGTGCTGGAAATGAAGATGATTGAACAGCTGGGAAGGGCCATAGATTTGAATGTAGGAGGGTTGCAGTTTTCCCATTGATGCTCTGTGTTTTGTTAACTGCATGGTGTGTGGAATGTTTTTGGTTAATTTTCATGTTGTTGGTCGATTCTTAATATTTTTTTGTGCATTGGTATGGAATATCTATGCATCAGTTTCGTTTCTCAGAGTTGATTATTGGATTCAATGTTTGTACCCTAAACCCCAAAACTTCATTGGAGACTTATTGGAATTTTAGCAAGATCAGGTGGTTGATTCTGGGAGATTTGGAGTGGGAGGTTTTCTCAAAGGCTGATAATTACATCCACGACTTCTTGGAGGTGCAGGGGAAGAGCAGAGTGGTGAGCAGAAGCATTGATAGAAGATATTGCGGGTGGGAGAAGCTTCCAATGGGAGTATACAAGTTGAATACTGATGTTGGGTTGAATAGTAGAGGGGAGGCTGCTATGGGTTGTGTAGTGAGAGATTGGGATGGACGAGTGATGTTTTATGCAAACAAGTGTGAGAAGAGCAAGTGGCCGACTATAGTGGCAGAGGGAAAGGCTATTCTCTTTGGTTAGCAAAAGATGCTGGAGAGGGGATTAGGCCCTGTGATCGTGGAGATAGATTGTAAAAAGTTGGTGGAGCTGCTAAAGGGAGAAGTGGAATGTAGGACTGAAATAAGCAGTGTGTGTAGGGACATTAAAGAAATGGGGAATATATGAATGTGATTGGTTGGAAATTTGTGTTTAAGGAAGCAAACGTTGTTGCTCATTTAGTGACTCACATAACCCCACCTAAGAGTGGAGAGTATGTATGGAACGATTGTGACTCTGTTGTTGTAGCTGATGTAGTGGCCTGTGTGGCTTGTGGTTAATATTATGAAATTCAGCAGGTTCTTTCTCAACAAAAAAAAAACACAGTTATTTGGATGCATTAGTGGTGCTGAACTTCAGTATTTGTAAACCATAGTTTAATTTTCAATTTTTAATGTTATTACTTCATGGTTTATTTGTTACTTGCTATGCAGGAAGTGTAGATGGGTTGTTCCATTCTAATACCGTATAGGTTGTCACAAAATCTCAAAGGAAATTGCAATACCTACCGACTTTGTGAATGGCAAGCTTCTCATTGAGGATTAACATGATGGTCTTCTGTGGGTTTTAAAAATCCATTGTTTGGAAAAAAAATGGAAGAATGCTTAGGTTTTAAAAATTTGTTGATTGGAAAATCTTCGATTTCAATCCCCAGTACATTTGTGTGCCCCTGCTGTAATGAATCATCTATGTTGTCATTCTTGGTTTAGCAACAATGATGCTTGGTGTGGGTTGGCAAACCACGCAGTTCTACGTCCAATGTACACTGATAACACATATCAACATACCCGCGGCAGAGCGCGGGTTAATTCCTAGTTCCTTGTTATAAGGGATACATTTCGAGTTACATGGCCCTAACTTAAGCTCTACAGGCCCATGACACTGAAGGCGACTCGATAAAGGCCGGACCAGCCCATCTCATACGAATATATACACCTCGGCCCCGTTTCTTTAGGGTTTCAATCCCCGTCTTTGTAAACCCTCACGTAGGAAGAGCTCCTCTGCATAATCTGCAACTACAGCCGCAAAGGGTGCCTCTTTTGTTCTCCACCTTCCATCTGCAGCCATGGTAATTAGCTTCGCCTCTGCATCTTCTACCTCCCATCATCCGTTACTTGCTTTACTCCATGAACCGGCCCCTCACTATCTTTTCGATGTTGCTGTCAGATTATCCCAGAGAAAAACAGAAGAGAAATCTCCAAGTACCTCTTCCAAGGTTTGTCCCTTGTATCCACTCCTTTCCTTTTAATTCACTTACTAGAAGGTGTTGGGAGGATTGAACGAATGATGTTAGTTGGCGGGAAATTGGATGGACAATTGGTATCTACTGTAACGGTGAAATGGGTTATTGTGATTATATCAGTTGGGATTGTCTTAACTGCGTCGTGTTTGTGCATGAAAAATGTTTTGTGCCTTCTGGAGACTGATAACTGATGAAAAGCTTGTTGATTGTTGCTGTTGATGACATTCAGAGGGAGTGTGCTTTGCCAAGAAGGACTTCAACCTTGCAAAGCACCCTGAGATTGATGTTCCCAATCTCCAGGTGATTAAGCTGATGCAGAGCTTCAAATCCAAGGAGTATGTCCGTGAGACCTTTGCCTGGATGCACTACTACTGGTACCTTACCAATGAAGGGATTGAGTTCTTGAGGACATACCTCAATCTTCCATCCGAGATTGTGCCTGCTACTTTGAAGAAGTCTGCTAAGCCTCTTGGCAGGCCCATGGGAGGTCCACCTGGTGACCGCCCAAGGTACATTTTCCCCTGAGTTTGGTTTGCAATATACATGGATTTTGTGTCCTGAGATTCCCATTGCTTATACAGACTTGTTTGCATTTCAATTGATTCGTGTTTGTTCATATAATTACTTGTAGGGGTCCTCGTTTTGAGGGAGACCGCCCAAGATTTGGTGATCGTGATGGGTATCGTGGTGGTCCACGTGGAGGTGGTGATTTTGCTGGTGGTGAGAAGGGAGGTGCTCCCGCTGACTTCCAGCCATCATTCAGGGTAATGGGACTTTCTCTATGAAGTTATATGAAGAATGCTATGCCTATGTTCTGATTCAGTAGTGTTAAGATATCTGGGTTTGCTATCCTAGTTAAGTGCATCTATCTTTCATGGTGGATGTGATACAACTCAACAATTGTCTCTCTAGTTCATTCCCTTTGCATTTGTACTCTTTGGTGCTAGTGCCAATGGGTTAATTCTTATCATTTGTTTTCTTCCTGTGGTTTCCAGGGCTCTGGTGGAAGGCCTGGATTTGGTCGCGGTGGTGGCGGTTACGGCGGTGGTGCACCACCAGCTCCAAGCAGTTCCGGTGGATTTGCTTAAGAATGTGCTTGAAACTTTAATTTTGGCGGTCACATGGGATGTTTTCATATGTAGTCTTTGAAAGTTACGAACAATTTTTAGTATTTGGTTTCAGAGAGAATGGTAAGCTTGTTAGAGTCTAAAGTTCCCTCAGCAGTCCGTTATTGTAAGGGTTTGACAATGATGGATACTCCTTTTTAAGATGAAGATGCTGTCGAGTATTTTGTTCGTTACGATTGGATTTCACTTGTTCAAGTTAGAATTTACCCTTAACCGTAATAGCGAGTTCGTGATTTTATTGATGCTGCCCGTTACATTGGTGTATCCTGAATGGGACATTAACTTGGTAGTATCTAGTCTTTTTGCAGATGTTAGATATCTACAGCTAGCTGTATCTAGGATGTTTCTCTGTTATTACTTGTCATAGAATTTGCCCAGAGGTTGTCAAACCATTTGCTTGTCTGGGCTTGCTGCGCGATCATTCTCGATCAAGAGAATATCATATAAGTACTCCAGCACAGAACAACAGCACATAAAACATAATCGAAGAAGACCTTCGAAGATATCAATCTCTCTTTCATGGACGCAAATAACTTGTTTGGCAGCGTTTTACTGAAATGAGTTATTTGTACAGTGAGTTATTTACAAATAACTCAAAACGAGTTATTTGAAATAACTTATACTCATGTGTTATTTTGAAATAACTTGTTTTATCATTCTGCTTTTACCAAATATCACATGCCAAATACCACATTTGCATTGTTCAACCAAACGAGATACTTTATTTCAATTACCACTGAAATAACACTGAAATACCACATGAACAATAAATGAGTTATTTGACTCTACAAATACCACATTGACAATTAACTCATCCAAACGACCCCTGATTAATCTGGCCTTGCTGAGCGATAATTCTCAGTCGAAGATATTTAACTTGGATTATGTCAGAATGGAAGAAGGCTCGGTCGGCGTACACATGTTCGACCTTAACACTATGTTTGGCAACAAGGGGGGTGCAAGTTCGAGGGGGGTACAAGTTGAGGGGTAAATTGTTGGGGGGTGCAACTTGGTGGAGGGTGTAAGTGGAGGGGTAAATTGTTGTTTGGATGAAAAAAGTAGGGGGGGTGCAAATAGAGTAAAAAGTAAGTAATTATATTATTATAAAATAGATTTATCAATTTATAAAATATTATCACAAAATAATAACATGAAAATTCAATATATAATAATAAAAATAATAAATAAAAATAATTTTAATAAAAATAATTATTATATAATAATGCTCAAATATAATTATTTATAACAACAATAATAATCATTGGTCGAGCAACCTCGAAACTCGAAATCCAACTCGTAACTGGTCATCCTAAGGGGGTTCTCGTGCCTAACTTTAAATTGAATATGGTCAAACTTAGTCAAACACGTTCGAATCTGTAAGTTTTAACTACTTATTAAAGTAAATCGAGTTAACTAAACTGTTCCTCTCTATCTTTTCAACAAATGCTTCTTATCTCTAATTTTCAATGCAAATTCGGGTCAACTAAGAGATATCGATTTGACGAGGCGAACATTGACAAACTTGCTCTCTTAGTCAAACGGTCAACCCCAAACAACTTCTACACTAATATAGATATAAGAAAAAATTAATAATATTAATTATTATGTAATTATAATCTAATTAAAAATTCATAATTCCCCTCCTCCTCCTTCCCCCTCCCTTTCTTCCTTTCCTTGCACCCCAATTTGGGGGGTTAGCCGAAACAGTGAATTTACGCTCACGTTTTGCACCCTCCTACTGTTACAAAATAACCAAACGGGGGTAAACACTTTGGAACTTGTGTTTACCCCTCCAAACTTGCACCCCCTTCCATTTGCACCCCTTCCCAAACATAGTGTAAGAAATTTTACAGCTGTCAAGTGTCAACCTTTGGTTATTCAGTTCTAACATACCACGCAGCTTTCCTCCACAGGAAATTCCAGTTAAAATTCTCCAATGTGTATGCTGTAACTAATAGCTTACCGTGACAAGCGGATGAATGGCAACATCAATTGCAATGAACAAGATAAAAAGAGTTGGGAAACGAAAACCCTTTGGCTAACAACTCAAGATAAGATAATCTCCGCATGGTTAAAACAGAAAATGACAGTAGTTTAGGACCGAGTACCAGCACGAAAACAAAAATAGCCACAAAAGGGTAGCGAACAAGTCTGCAGAGAAAACCAATAGACAGAAAACTAAAGAGCGTCACAGTTCTAAAACTAAAGATAAAACTTAGTCGACTTCCTCCATCTTGCTCTCCTCAGCAGCATCATCCTCAAGTGGAGGCATCTCCGACTCATCGCCACCGGCCAGGTCGTCCTCATCAATGCTCAGACCAAGCTTCAACATCCTGTGAATCCTGGTTGCAAAGGTGTTGGGATCCTCCAGACTGAACCCAGAGTTCAGCAATGCGGTATCGAACAGAAGCAGCACAAGATCCTTGACAGACTTGTCGTTCTTATCAGCATCAGCTCTCTTCCTTAGCTCGTCCATGATCCCGTTGTCAGGGTTGATCTCCATGGTCTTCTTACTAGACATGTAGGAGCCCATGCTGCTGTCCCTCAAAGCTTGAGCCTTCATGATCCTCTCCATGTTGGCGCTCCACCCATACTCGCCAGTCACCAAACAGCAAGGGGAGTCGACAATCCTGTCGGAGACAATCACCTTCTCGACCTTGTCACCCAAGATGTCCTTGATTGTCTTGCAGAGCTCCTCAAAGGACTTCTTCTTCTCTTCCTTCTTCTGCTTCTCTTCCTCAGTTTCATCATCAAGCTTCAAACCTTCCTTTGTTGCAGAGACCAGCTTCTTTCCATCATACTCCTTCAGCTGCCCGATGGCATACTCATCAATGGCGTCAACCATGTACAGGACTTCATATCCCTTCTTCTTCAGCCTCTCCAAGAAAGGAGAGTTCTCAACAGCCTTCTTGCTCTCACCAGTAATGTAGAAGATGTCAGTCTGACCTTCCTTCATCCTGGTCACATAGTCCTTCAAGCTGGTCAACTCCTCACCACTCTTGGTGGAGTGATACCTCAAAAGGTCAGCAAGCTTGGAGCGGTTGGTGCTGTCCTCATGGATTCCAAGCTTCAAGTTCTTGGAGAAGGACTCGTAGAACTTGTTGTAGTCCTCCTTGTTCTCGGCAATCTCATTGAACATCTCAATGCACTTCTTGACAAGGTTCTTCCGGATGACCTTCAGGATCTTGTTCTGCTGGAGCATCTCACGAGAGATGTTGAGCGGCAGGTCATCAGAATCAACAACACCTTTCACAAAGGAGAGGAACTCTGGGATGAGCTCATCACAGTTGTCCATGATGAACACTCGCCTGACATAGAGCTTGATGTTGTTGGCCTTCTTCTTGTTGTCAAAGAGGTCAAATGGAGCGCGCTTGGGGACAAACAGGACAGCCTTGAACTCAAGCTGGCCCTCAACGGAGAAGTGCTTCACAGCCAGATGGTCTTCCCAGTCATTGGTCAGGCTCTTGTAGAAGGAAGCATACTCTTCCTTGGTGATGTCTTCTGGCTTGCGGAGCCAGATGGGTTTCTGCTTGTTGATGAGTTCCCACTCGTGAGAGACTTCCTTGATCTTCTTCTTCTTCTTGGATTCAGTCTCTTTCTCTTCATCAACTTCCTCAACTTCGCCGTCCTTTTTGGGCTCCTCTTCATCTTCATCATCACTGATTTCCTTCTCGGTGGTTTTCTCGGTCCAGAGGTAGATCGGGTAGCTGATGAACTCAGAGTGCTTCTTCACAAGATCCTTGATCCTCCTCTCCTCGAGGTATTCCAGCTGTGGAAAGAGATGCATTAACACGTGTCAACCATCTCATCAAACACATGTTCCTATCTAGCAATTATTAGATACTAATCCCGTCTATTCTGAATTCAGAAAAGATTACACAATCATTCAAATTCAAGATACAAACATGTTCTATTACAAAAAAAGACTACAAACCAGCATAAATAGAAAGTTCGGAAATAGGATATGCTAACTGAGCAGGCAAAGGCACAAGTTCATTCTTATATTCACAAGGCCAACAGCAACAGTATTTAACTAGATGAAACCAGTCTATTTTTCCACCGGGAAATCTTTCAAATTACCTGGTCTTCCTTAAGGTGGAGGACCATCTTGGTGCCTCTGCCGAGTTGCTCCCCGGTTGTGTCCCTTATAACGGTGAAGGAACCACCAGCCTGTGACTCCCACACATACTGCTCGTCATCGTTGTGCTTGGTGGTCACGATGACCTTCTCGGAGACAAGGTAAGCAGAGTAGAACCCAACACCGAACTGGCCAATCATGCTAACATCAGCACCAGCCTGCAAGGCTTCCATGAACTCCTTGGTTCCAGACCTCGCAATCGTTCCCAAATTGTTCACCAAATCTTCACAAACACAAAACGAAACCATTCTACCTCAGTAACCATCATACCAAGCGCATACAGATATCCAAGCTAGGGTAAACCAGAGAAAACGTCAAATCAAGGACGACGGAACTCACCAGCTTTGGTCATGCCGATGCCGGAGTCGATGATGGTGAGGGTGTTGTTGGCCTTATCGGGGATCAGCCTGATGAAGAACTCCGGCTGTCCATCGAGCTTACTCTTGTCGGTCAGGCTCTCGAATCTGATCTTGTCCAAAGCCTAAAATCAACAACAACAACAACATCATCACAGCCATTGCATTCAGAAATCAGGATTCAATCTATAAACCTCAAGAGAGTTGAAACGGAATTAGGATTGAAGCGGTACTCACATCGGACGAGTTGCTGATGAGCTCGCGGAGGAAGATCTCCTTGTTGCTGTAGAAGGTGTTGATGATCAAGCTCAGGAGCTGGTTGATTTCGGCCTGGAAGGCGAATGTCTCGACGTCCGCCATCGTTAAACCCTTGACTGATGAAGCGAAGAAGCAGTAGATCTGTTCTTTTTGGAAGAGCGTTTGAGGAAAGAGAAAAGTCGAGGCGGGGGCGAAAGAGGGTTTGAGCGGAGGAAGCGAAGAGTGTATTTATATAGTGCAGTGGGGTTTCAGCCTTCAGGGAGGTTTTGCTAGGGCAAAACACCAACAAGGTCAAGGATTCAGAAATTCTAGATCCTTCTCTGGATGGGCCCCCGGCTCTACTAAATTCGTGGCTTAAAGTTGCAACTTGCAACTTGCAGGCCTTCTAAATCGCCAGACGAGCGTGTTAATTCAAAGGCAAAGTTACAAGAGCGCCGTCGTTTAGCGATTTCCTCCTGCAAGATCAAGAGGCAGTCATCCTTTTTCAGTTTTTTCTTTCCGTTGCGAACTGGTATACTTGGATTATTTTCACTATTTATTAGTCAAATTTATTGAAATGCTTGTACTTAACCATTTTTTTTTATATCGGATCATAGTATTAGTATTAGCTTTCGTTCTATTATAGTTAATTATTTTCTAACGAATCTCTACATCAGCATCAACATCCACGTCAGTAAGGATAATTTTTTTATTTTATTAATTCATTTTCTAAATACAAATAGAAAACGGTAGTCTTCTCCACACCCCTAAGAACAACATTCAGCGGAGGCGACATCCCCCACCGCGGCCTTCTCTTCGCCTCCATTGTCATCATCGGACGCTTCATCAGCTTGCCACCACAGCCTCGACTTCTCCCAGGCAGACTAGAGTACGTGATTAATCCGATTTCGTTACTAATTTTATGAAATGGTGGTTACTGTGCTGTAAATGTATACGTTTTGGGGTGGAATGCATGGTTCCTGAAACTCCAACGCCAAAAATTCCGTATCAAGTCTGCCCTGACCCGTACTCAATACTGTGGAGATGGAGGAGGAAGAAGTCCCGGAGGAAAAACTACTGATCTAATCATTCATTAGATCTTTGCTTCACCATGATGATGTGTTTATTGTCTTTTAACTTTTGATTTATACATATAGATGGACAGATAGGGAAATTCTTTTGCTGAGTCTGATATAAAGCTTAAGCTACAAATAGTTGTAGAGAAAGTTCTCCTGATTTGTCATTTTGTTGTGGTTGGTTCACTGAGATCTCTGGAATCCTGATGTTAGAAGGATATCCAGAGACGTGGTTTGTGAAAAGGAAGACCATCGCGTCTCGTCCAGTTCTCCTACCAGAAAACCCGCTTCGAATCTCCACTCACCACAACCAAAACACAACTCCCTCCAGGGCCACCCAAGCTCTCCCTGTTTGTCTTACTCTTTCTCCTATTCACCAAACCCCTTCATCCCTCCTTTCGCTTCCTTTCTCCTTCTCGTTAGCATCATCTTCCTCCAGTCCCGACCAACCGTCGACCAATTTCCGACCAGTACCATTCCTTTTTCGCCACCCCACCTATCCCACAACGATTCCTTTCCGAATAAGTTATTCTTTCTAGCGTTTCTTGCGAGCTAGTTTATATGTCTGTTCAATCGCACATAGAGTTCTAACTGAAACACCTAGTTCTCTATTTGTAGTTCTCATGATCGGGTTTGTGTATTTTTTTCTCTGAGCTCCTCCAGGATTAGTGAGAATATCAATTCTACTGGTACATCTCCACTTCATCGGTGCACTCTCAACCCTCCAAATCCCCCAAAATTCCTAATTACAATTTCCCAAACCATTACTCTTTGACTCGCCTTTACCGTCACACTAAAAAATGGCCAAGTGTATTCACTTACTATAGCGTAGTATAGTGGGTTTGGGTTTTAATGTCAACCCGGATCCTAAGTGTTCTGACTACTCCGTGAATTCTTATTATTTAGCACTCTGAATGTAGTGAAGGTCGTAGTAAATAATAAACAAGCAAAGCAGTAAACAGTTGTTTTCAAGTTGAGAGAGATCACCAGGATATGGTTCCCCCCTAGACTGCCGTTAAGTGATGACTCGATATTTGCACATGTTTTCCCCTTTGTTTCTTGATTGTTTGAGCTTTAATTATTGCGTCTTTGGCCTATTTTACGCTAGGTTGTGTTCCTTTGTCACATTTAGGTCCTAGCACATAAAGTGAAGCATAGGCGCAAGTTTCAAGTCAATCAGAGATCAATTGGCGATTAGGGAGAAGAAACTCGGGCATGACCTGAAGAAGAATGAATTTATACCTCACTTTATGGACAAAGAATCATGAAAGCTTGTCATGGAAAGAAAGAGGACGAGACTACGAGCGTCTGGGATCAAACGACGACTGATTCGGAGTCCGGACGAGGGAGAAACGAAGCATTGAATATAGGGGAACAAGTTCGGCAGTAAAAACACGGGCGCGCCTAAATCAAAACACGGCCGTGCCCATATTTAGGCACGAACGTGTTTTGGCCGACGCGCGTGAGCGTGTTTTTAACACGGGGCAAAACACGGGCGGTCAAAAGCAAAGCACGGCCGTGCCCTCGACCGTGTTTTGCCCAGAATCAGGTTTTTTAACGCAAATTCGAGCCAAAGGTGAGGGAGAGCTGGGTTTTGGATCCCAAACACCCAAGGGACGAACCAAAGAGAGAGAGGGCGATTTGAGGGCATTTTTGGAGTGGAATTGGAGGATTTCTTTGCCTTGGAAGCTCGAGGAACAAGCCCAGACTTGAAGACTGATCATCTGAAGATTCTTACTGCAGCCTCTCTCTTCTCTATGGAGTAACTTCCCTTCACTTAGGTTTTGAGGAACCCTAGCTATGTTTGTTTGATTGGATGATTGTATGAGTACTCTGACTTGATAATCTTGAGTTCATATTCAATCTATGCATGTTTTCATGATTCAATTCTGCTTTAGTCGAGATTATTGATTCTGCTTTGATCCTATGAGAGCGAATACCTGATTAGGTCAATAGAGCACCATAGATTGATAGTATTGGATCGATTGCTTTAGTCGAGGGTTGGTTCACTGCTTTGTATCGATTGAGAACCTCATTCGATAGAGGGAATCTAGTTTAGAACGCCTTGATCGGTTGTTCTAGAGAAGGATACGTCCCTCTAGGCAATTGACTCAAGAGGGCCTTGTTCCTTTAGTCGAGACTCAAGGTCTAGTCAAAGATTCTCCTCATTGTGAATGAAAGTGAAACAAGTTAGAAATCATCAATCGTTAGTCTGGCTAGTGGCTAGGGGGAATCATACCTAAGTGAGTTCCCAACCTGTAATTAGATTAACTTTAACTGTAGTTTGCTAGAGTAGTTTTAGTTCTTTCATCTTAATTTGGTTTGCTAAATAATAAACTGAAGCTGAGTAATAGTAACTCTAGAGACCCGTGGATTCGATATTTATCACTTGAGCCACTATACTGCAGTCCCTTCCATTGGTTACACTTGGCCATTGTTAGGTGTTGTGTCGTAGCGAGTCAAGTTTTTGGCGCCGTTGCCGGGGACTTTCTAGAGTATTAGGATAGGCAGAAGTTTGTTACTTTAGCGTTTTTCTTTTCTTTTCCACCCTTGCTTTTCACTTGGGTGTTTTTGTTTTTGTTGGTGCAGATCTGAATCATGGATCCTCATGGCTTCTCCAACAATTGGGGGTATCCACCACCACCCGAGTGGTATTACCCCGAGACTCCCTGGAGCAATCAAGGAGGAGAAGACTATGGATTCGGGTTCCAGTACCAACCCCCTTACTACGGAGAACAACCGGACCCCTGGGCATATCAAGAACAACCTCATTACCAAGAAGAATTTTTCCCACAACCAGAGGGGCCATTGGAGCTGGAATTACCCATGGCAGCCTTCACGGGCCATTCTGCAGAGCCATGCTACACTCCACAGCCAGATCCACACTATGAATTGAGACTTCTCATGGAGCAGTTTGCTCGAGACTGTGATAGAACATGCTCCAGGATGGATCATTGTGTCCAGGCCTATCGTGAAACAGAGGAGATCCTCCTTAGCCTTAAGAAGAGCGTCGATGATCTTGAGCGATCTTGGGCACAACCTGCTCCAGAGCACCCTTCTGCTACCATACTAGAAGAGGAGGAGGAAGAAGAAGGCTACAAGGACATTGTGGAACACACAGAAGTTGTCACGGAGAGCTCCCGTGATGGTCATGATCAGGAATGTCCTGTCGTAGCCGACCACACCTTCCCCCACCCCAAACTGAGCTTTGAAGAGGCAGGCATGAGTGAGGAGATGCAAGAAGATCTCATGAAAGAAATTGCTTGGCAACTTGCTCTCCAATCCGTGCTAGAAGAAGAAGAGCAAGAAAGGGTGCAGAAAGAAGTTGTGGAGGATGACGAAAGTGAAGCAGGAGGAGTTCTTGATCATTTCCCAGGGGTGATACCACATGAAGAAGGAAGGGAGGTTGAAGAAGAAATTAGCGTCCAGGCTGAGGACGGAGTTAAGGTGGAAGAGGCCTGCACCGGCCATGAGTTACATGTGATATCTCCACCAAACTTCGAGGAACTGCTTAGCAAGGACCCATTTGCAGTGTCTCTTTGACAGACCAAGGCCACATCGACATCGGTCCCTCTTGGTGGACGCGATGGTGGTCAATCGATGCTGTCATATCTGGTTTGGGGCAATGAGACGAGAGAAAGAAGAAGAGGTCTCGAGGGTGGAGACGTTATCTGCATCAAGTGCACGAGCTTCCATCACCTGTCAATACACATGCTCGTGACTTGAGACTCCACCTCATCGACGAGAACCTCAACTTCAAGGAGGTTTTGGGGTGGACCGAAACTTAGGAGCCATCGTCCGGCTCACGACGTGAAAGAAGCGCTTGTTGGGAGGCAACCCAACCAGTCGGTTTGCATTTATTTCTCTATTTCTCTTCGGTTGAGTCAGTTTTGTTCTTTGATTTCAGAGTCAATAATTCAACCTTTGTGAGATTTTGTGTGGTGTTTGTGTTCCGACTACTTTGTCCTCCTGGAATGCACCGCCTTCCCCGTCCACCATCATTCACCGTTGATATGGTAACTTCGTTCTACCCTCCTTATCTTTCCTCCATTGAGGACAATGTCGTGCTTAAGTGTGGGGGGATGTTCGATTACGTATGTGTGTGAATGTTTGACTGTTTGTGTGCTTGGAGCCTAGTCCACTGTCCAAATTTCGATTTGAGGGCTCCAAGTACGTGTTCCTTGCAATTTCCTGCTCAGTATGCTTTGAATTGACAGTCTTTATAGTAATATGCAACCTAGGGAGGTAGTGTAGCACTATGGAGGATGTTGATGCATTTAAGAAGTCTCATTTCTTCTTCATATTGTGTTGGTTGATTGAGTGAATTAGTGATCTTAGGACCCCTGAATTGTGTGGTGTTGTGGACTCTCTACCTGTCATGGACTCTTGTTTCATGTTTTGAGTTTAACAGGTGCTCGAAAATGTGCTTTAAAATAACGTCTCCCGTGCGAATAGGGCGAAAGTGTGTAAGGGGAGACGGGAATTCGTTCCCAATTTTCACCTACTACCTCCAGCCCCCTTACATGTCTTTCCCCCGCACGAGGCTCGAGACACCCGCTCCTGGCATGGCCGGTAAGAGCCGGGCTCCCGCAAAACCTCTGCTAGGTGGGAGCCCCCATTTTCTGAAAAGCAGGTTGGGACCCTTGAAAAAAAATGAAAAGGAAAAATAACAGAAAACAAGCAAAACAGAAAGAAAAGGGGTTCCAACCGTCTTCAAAAAGAAAATAAGAGCACCTTGAAAAATGTGAGTCCATGATTTTTTTTTTAGAGTCTCTTTGTCCACAATTCATTTGTCCTCTGTTCACTATTTGCCATGATGCCGACTCGAGACTAGCGTTCTCGCCGAAGAAGCTATGAGATGACTTGTGCGTCGGTTGACCTCGTAAGCTGCTAAATGATCTAGAAAATTCTCTACCAACGATCGAGGGTGCATGTTGCTATAGAGGTCTGGAGAGCTGCATTAGATTTGCTTGGGGACAAGCAAACGGTTAAGTGTGGGGGGATTTGATGACTCGATATTTGCACATGTTTTCCCCTTTGTTTCTTGATTGTTTGAGCTTTAATTATTGCTTCTTTGGCCTATTTTATGCTAGGTTGTGTTCCTTTGTCACATTTAGGTCCTAGCACATAAAGTGAAGCATAGGCGCAAGTTTCAAGTCAATCAGAGATCAATTGGCGATTAGGGAGAAGAAACTCGGGCATGACCTGAAGAAGAATGAATTTCTACCTCACTTTATGGACAAAGAATCATGCAAGCTTGTCATGGAAAGAAAGAGGACGAGACTACGAGCGTCTGGAATCAAACGACGACTGATTCGGAGTCCGGACGAGGGAGAAACGAAGCATTGAATATAGGGGAACAGGTTCGGCAGTAAAAACACGGGCGCGCCTAAATCAAAACACGGCCGTGCCCATATTTAGGCACGACCGTGTTTTGGCCGACGCGCGTGAGCGTGTTTTTAACACGGGGCAAAACACGGGCGGTCAAAAGCAAAGCACGACCGTGCCCTCGACCGTGTTTTGCCCAGAATCAGGTTTTTTAACGCAAATTCGAGCCAAAGGTGAGGGAGAGCTGGGTTTTGGATCCCAAACACCCAAGGGACGAACCAAAGAGAGAGAGGGCGATTTGAGGGCATTTTTGGAGTGGAATTGGAGGATTTCTTTGCCTTGGAAGCTCGAGGAACAAGCCCAGACTTGAAGACTGATCATCTGAAGATTCTTACTGCAGCCTCTCTCTTCTCTATGGAGTAACTTCCCTTCACTTAGGTTTTGAGGAACCCTAGCTATGTTTGTTTGATTGGATGATTGTATGAGTACTCTGACTTGATAATCTTGAGTTCATATTCAATCTATGCATGTTTTCATGATTCAATTCTGCTTTAGTCGAGATTATTGATTCTGCTTTGATCCTATGAGAGCGAATACCTGATTAGGTCAATAGAGCACCATAGATTGATAGTATTGGATCGATTGCTTTAGTCGAGGGTTGGTTCACTGCTTTGTATCGATTGAGAACCTCATTCGATAGAGGGAATCTAGTTTATAACGCCTTGATCGGTTGTTCTAGAGAAGGATACGTCCCTCTAGGCAATTGACTCAAGAGGGCCTTGTTCCTTTAGTCGAGACTCAAGGTCTAGTCAAGGATTCTCCTCATTGTGAATGAAAGTGAAACAAGTTAGAAATCATCAATCGTTAGTCTGGCTAGTGGCTAGGGGGAATCATACCTAAGTGAGTTCCCAACCTGTAATTAGATTAACTTTAACTGTAGTTTGCTAGAGTAGTTTTAGTTCTTTCATCTTAATTTGGTTTGCTAAATAATAAACTGAAGCTGAGTAATAGTAACTCTAGAGACCCGTGGATTCGATATTTATCACTTGAGCCACTATACTGCAGTCCCTTCCATTGGTTACACTTGGCCATTGTTAGGTGTTGTGTCGTAGCGAGTCATTAAGCCAAATTGTCATTCACCAAGTTCAAATTTAAGGATAGTTATACTGCGGGAGGTTCTTAAATAGTCTGCAGTCTCGACTAAAGGTCTCCAGACCCTCTCAATCTGAGTCCCCAGTGGGCGACTAACCTCCACCGCAGTAAACAGATTGAGGCCCTAACGAACAAAACCTCCTCTACTAGAGTAAATCCAGTACAGAATAGTGTGACTCCTCGACTAAAGTCGTCAATTCACTACCTTCAATCAAGGGTACTCTATCAACCTAGGCAGATATTATCTTTCTAGGTCAAAGCAGAAACAACGGGAATGTGATCAGGATTCATGCAATTCGTCAAATCAAACCTCAATTGAATATAATCAAACCAATGGATTCATACTTGGGTTCATGCAATCAGACCTAACATACAAATCTAGGGTTCTCCATACCCAGATGAATGAGGAAGTTACTCCATGGAGAGAGAAGCAGAAACTAGCTCAGATGCAGAAATCATGCTGTGAAGGATGGGTTTCTACTTCTGGTCATCAATCGGCACTTCTCCAAGTGTTAGCCGAGCTCCAATGGTGATGAAGATCAATCTAAAGCACTTGGGAACTCTGGTTTGTCGCTTTCTCTCTCTAGGTATGACTTTCTTTCTCCAAAACTCGGAACCCTTGTAAAATTGGCCCTTTTTCCCCCTCAAAAGGGAGCAGATCACGATCCCCGGTCATAATACCCAGTCGGGTATTTCAGCTTCCCGAACGGGTATTTTGAAACGCAGCGCAGTGGGGAAGGAGAAATACCCAATCGAGGTTCAGAATACCCGATCGGGTATTTTAGCTATCCGGCCGGGACCCTTTCTGGGATTTTGGCGTCCAAAACGTGTATCCCCGACCTCTCCTTGCCTTTTACCCGGTCGGGTATTTTCACTCCTAGCCGGGTATTTTGCTCCTCTAGCTCCCTTTTACTCCAACGGTCCCCTTTTCGCCCGAAACTCGATTCCTCGCCTCCAAGTCAACGCTAAGTCCTGAAATGTGACATAAACACACAACCTAGCGTGAAATCGGCTTAAAACACGAGAATCAACATCTCAAAAGGCTCAAGAATAGGGGTATAAACATGTATAATTATTGGTCTATCAAATTCCCCCACACTTAACCGTTTGCTTGTCCCCAAGCAAACCTAACTCAAACCAATGCAGCTCTCTAGACCTCTATAGCAACAAACAACCTCGATCGTCGATAGAGGATGTTCTAGATCATTTAGCAACTTACGAGGTCAACCAACACACAAGTCATCTCCTAACTTCTTCGGCGAGAATGCTAGTCTCGAGTCGGCACCATGGCAAATAGTGATCAGAGGACAAATGAGTCGTGGACAAAAGAATTCTCAAAAAGAAAAGATCATGGACTCACATTTCTCAAGGTGCTCTTGCTTCTTTTTGAAGATGGTTGGAACCCTTTTTTTTCTTCATTTTTTTTATTGTTGTTTTTTTCTCTTTTTTTCAAGGGTTCCAACCCGATTTTCAGAAAATGGGGCTCCCACCTTGCAAAGGTTTTGCGGGAACCCGGCTCTTACCGGCCATGCCGAGATCAGCTCTTACTGGCCATGCCGAGAGCGGATGTCTCGAGCCTCATGCGTGGGAAAGGAATGTGACTCGCTCTTTCTGTCACTCTAGAAATTGGCCAAGTGAAACCACTTCTTAAAGCGTAGTATAGCGGGTTTGGGTTTAATTATCAACCCGGGTCCTAGATTTGATGACTACTCAGTGAATTCTTGTTATCTAGCAATGAAACTTTAATGCAAGTCTAAACTAACAAACTAACAAAGCAAGTAAACTGTTGTATTCAGGTTAAGAGAGGTCACCCGGATATGGTTCCCCCTAGACTGCAGTTAAGCCGGATTGTAATTACCAAGTTCAGTTTCTATGATAGTTATACTGCGGAAGGTTCTCAAACAGCCTGAAGTCTCGACTAAAGGTCTTCAGACCCTCTCAATCTGAGTCTCTAGCGGGCGACTAACCTCCACCGGAGTAAACAGATTGAGGCCTTAACAAACAAAACCTCCACTACCGGAGTAAATCCGGTACAGAATAGTGAGTTGGCTTCTCGACTAAAGTCACCAACTCCCTAACTTCAATCAAGGATGCTCTATCAACCTAGGCAGATATTCTCATTCTAGGTTAAAGCAGAAACAACAGGAATTTGATCAGGATTCATACCATTCAATCATTCAAACCTCAATTGAACATGATCAAATCATAGAATCAGTACTTGGGTTCATACAATCAAACCTAACATACAAATCTAGGGTTCTCCATACCCAGATGAATGGGAGAACTACTCCATGGAGAAAGAAGCAAAAGCAGAATCAGACGCGGAATTCATACTGTGAAGGATGGATTCCTGCTCCTGGACGTTGATCGGCACTTCTCCAAGCTCAAAATGGCCTCCAATGGTGATGAAGATCAAGCTAGGGCACTTGGAGACTCTTGTTCGTCGCTTTCTCTCTCTAGGAATCGATCTATCTCTCTAAAACTCGAATCCCCTTCTGTTTTGGTTGAAATCTACTTAAAAGGGCATCAGTGGCCAAAGCACGGTCGAGGGCACTGCCGTGTAATGCCTCAGCCCGCCCGTGCTTTGGCTAGGGTTAATTACATGGCCACTGTGTTGGGAGAAACACGGGCGTGGTTGATGATGGACACGGCCGTGCTTTGGTGGACACGGCTGTGCTTTCAGCCCGTGTTTTTAGCCAATATTTTCCCAACTCGAATTTGCTCTCGGCAGTAAAAGCACGGCCACAGAACACGGCCGTGTTCTGTTTTAGGTCTGCCCGTGTTTTGGCTCCAGCTTGACGAAATGACTTCCGAATGCCCCGAAACTCGTGCTTAGCTTTTCCTTTGACGCCTGGGACCTGAAATATGACAAAATAGCACAACCCGGCGTAAAATAGGCCAAAAATACACGACTATGCCCCTCAAACGGATAAGAACTAGGGGCGCAAATATGTGCAATTACATCGTTATCAAATTCCCCCACACTTAATCGTTTGCTTGTCCCCAAGCAAACCAAGTCAGACACAAGGTAAGCTCAAAACGTGGCATGTCGTATCGGAACAAAACACGTGGATCATACTGGCTTTCGATCATTAACACATGGACAACCTCAATGACAACCTAGAGAACCACCACAGATGACATTCGAATGCAGTAAAATCGAGCAAAGGAAGAGTCTCCCTTCTGTTCACCAACCAACATAGACCTGACTCAACCACTTATTCAAAACAGTCACTTCATGCACAAAGTTCAAGATATCAGAATTAAGACCGAGCAATCTAGGTCCTCACCGGGATAAAGAGTATAGAGAAGAAGAGAAAATGAATCGCTCACGCTCGACCAGTGGGGTCAGGACAATATGATGCGAAAAATGCGCATGCTTAATCTCTCAATCCCTAACATCTCTTCATCATGAATGCAGCCTCTAAGTGCTAGAGTTCACATATGGGGTGTCACCACTAACTAATCCGGAGGTCTTAGACACAGGTTCAGATGACTGGCTAGGGTCTTGGACATGGGGAAAAGGCCTTTTAGGTGGTGGAAGTATTCATACAGCACAAGGTTCCACATTTCCAAACCCAACAGACTCGCAGTCAATCAAGCAAAAACTTTCTTTCTGCTATTCTGCATTACTCAAGTTCAGAGCACAAGAGCGAAGTAGGTATCATAAATGCTAGTATTTCTAAGCCAGCCTGCTAAGAAACACTACTACATGGGCATTATTCAGATTTTTGGTGGTGGCACTCTTTTGCTTTCTTTTTTCCTTTGTTTTTCTTTCATTGTTTTTCATTTCTTAAGAAAACCACCACCTCTGCACAATTTCAAACACCTGCCCAACTTTTAAGCACTACCTCCAACCCTCACATTACATTTAGCAGAAACAGCAGAGAACATGTAAAAATCACTCTGTGGAACCTTTTAAAAGATGCAAAAGGGTGACTTTTCATTGAAGACCGAAAGAAAGGAAAACACACGGCTCAAAGGGGCTGACTAGGGGTATGACACACTAGGGCAGTCAATTTGGTCGTGGGCTAATCCTATGCCTCCATCATCTTAGCTAATGACAACGTGAATGCTGCACATCATGGAAGAGGAAACTATCGCACAAGAAAGAAACGAGCAGGCTCAAATCTCACATGGCTACCTATATGCTCTATCTCTCGTTCTGATTCCCTGAACTAGATGCATAAATGACTGTCAAAAGCAAGTGATCAAACCAAGTCACATTTGGTGAGTAGACAGTTGAAAAACTGAACCCCTACACAATTCTACTGTACATCTCAGTCATCACAATAAGTTGTCTAAGTCACACTCAAGTTGTCATGTATCAAGTCAAAAGCCATTCAATTCACTAATCATATCCACAGTGCCAATACGATCAATCATCAAGCAAACATCCGTGCTTGGAGCCCTCAAATCTCAAGATTTGGACAGTGGACTAGGCTCCAAGCACACATATATACGTTCCAATTCATACAAAGAACCCCCCACACTTAAACGCGACAATGTCCTCAATGGAGCAGAGGGAAGGGGAACGATGTTACCGTGAAACAGTGGTCAGGAACGTTGACTGGATGGCGGACCAGTCAAAAGAAGGAGGCACAGAGCTAGAGACAACAAAAACACACATACTGGGTGATAGGAATCAGAGTACCAAGTCTACAATCCAAGATAAAAAAAAAACGAAACAAAACGAAACCACAAAACACGGAGTCTCAGTCTGGAAAACAAATGAAGCACAAAACCCGCTCTAGAAGGCATCACCACCATCGCCGGTGGGAGGGGGTACTCATCCTCAAACCCCGGGGACTGCACGAACGGGTAGTGGACCGCGCTTGGGTCTAAGCCCAAGTAGGACATGATGTAGTGCTGCCCGGACATGATACGACGCCCTCGGTCCCGCTCACGATCAAGGCGGGTGTGGATGCGCTCCTGGCCGGCCAGGATGCGCTCGTTCTGCTGTGCGATCGCCGCCAACTAATCGGAAATGGGCACCACCACTGGAGGAGGTGGTCCTGGAGATGGAGACCGGGGAGCAGGAGAGGGGCTCGCGGGAGCTTGGGCACGACGGGGTACGCGACGGGGAACTCGGCGCCCACCAGCGGTGCTCGACTCGGCCTGGTCGCCCTCTGCAGGTATAGGTGGCTGAGGAAGGCCCGAGATCCAGCGCACATGCCCGTGGCGAGCAACCAAGTGCTGGTGGCGGAGAGTAGGCTCACCGAGTGGGGTCGGTGCGCGGACCAATGTCATCCCTGTGTAGTCCACCCCGTAGTTGCGGGCCAAGGCAGTGATCACCGGGCCACAAACGAGGCTGCGAGTCGTGCTGATGACTTTCTTAGTGAATGTCCGGGCAAGCACAGAGCCCAGCTGGATGGTGTCCTCAGAACGACCCATCGCATGCATCAACCAGAGAGTCCGGAGTGTGACCCGGTTGGACGAGCCCTGGCTGGGTATATAAGAAGTGCACATCAGGTGGTTGAGGATCTGCCACTCCGGATGAAGGAGAGCAGCTCGCGTCTGGCTGGCCACGTACTCTTCATCCACACTGTCCGGCAGGCAAATGCTCTGAAAGTACGCCTGGGAAGCAAAGTCCGTGGGATCAGAGAGATCCAAGCGGAGAGGAGGCCCGCCTGCTGCCTGGGAATTGAGACGAAGTGCATTGGCGAACTCCTAGTAACTGAGGGAGTGCTCCACCCCGTCGAGGGTGAACTGAATGGCATCAGCATGGTCGGAGTTCCCCTTCGAGTTATGGTGGAAGGTGGCATAGAACTCCCAGACCAGCTCCTTGTAGCTCGGCTCGGCGAGGGTGAGAAGACGCCGCCATGCAGGGGAGCGGACCGCGACCTCCATCTGTGGCCTGGCATGGAGCTCCTCGAACACCGCCCAATCAAGGTGAAAGTGCTCGGCGATGCTGCGGGTACGGAGGTTCCGCAGCTTATGGCGCTGGACGATGTTCATTTGGTCGAGATAAACCTCCATGATCCTGCAAAACACAATGAAGGACAAAGTGTACACAAGCAAACAGGGTCAATGTTAGGCCAAACCCACACCGGGAGCCCTCATATCGAAAGATATGGACAGTCGACTAGACTCCCGGCGAAACAAGCATACCCATCATAGGAGATTTACACAGCAAAAGACACCGGGGACTCTCAAATCGAGCGATTCGGACAGCGGATTAGGCCCCCGGTGAAACAAACATGCCCAAACCCGTACGAAATAAGCACCAATCGATCCACCACACAAAAAACCACACTAGCCCGCATACAATGCAACATGCAAGCATCCCAATCATCCCCCAAACCCAAAATATTCCCAAACCATTCATTCCACAATCAGAAGTTCTTCACCTAAATCTAGGTATATATTCTCCATAAATATAAGAAAAGACAAGGAGAACACACCTGGAGACGCAAGAAGAGACCACGAGAGAGGTGAAGAAAGTGGACAGAAGCACCCAAAGTCACCGGAAAACACACCGGAGACTCGCCGAAAAACTCACCGCCGGCGACCCAACCTCAGCCAAACCAGCTCAAATCTTTGGGGAATGTGCTCCTCGACGCCAGGAGCGTGGGGGCGCTCGCGGTTTGTGATTTGGAGGTCGGGAGAGAAAGTTATGGCCGGAAAATCGAAGGAGAAGGTGAAGGGGACGATTTTCCGGCGAGGGGGGCTGGGAGAGTTTGAAAAATATGACTGATCTGGGGGGTGGGGGCTGAAAATTTGATTTTATAGGGGGGGGGGGAACACGGGCGGGGCAGAACACGGCCGTGTTCTGCCTGCTCCGCGCCCGTGTTTTCCCTCATTAAAACACGGGCGGGCTCCTTTCAAAACACGGCCGTGTTTTTGAAGGGCCCGTGCCCGTGCTTTTTATGCCGAGGCTAAAAGGCAAAACACGGCGGGGCAGGGCAAAACACAGCCGTGTTTTGGCCCCCTGCTGCCTGTGTTTTTACTGTCGAGCCTGGAATGCTTTTTTTTTCAATTTTCAATCTCAAACCACCAAGATTCATTCGTGCCCCGGCTCTAAAATTTACCCAATCACGCATAAAAAAGAACCGCCCGAGGCATGAAAAACTTTACAGACAGACTCAAAGACTCAAAAACCGACAAAGATGAAATAAATAAATAAAAAAAAGGTAGAAATGCAAACCGTGGTGGGGTTGCCTCCCCACAAGCGCTTCTTTACCGTCTTTTAGCTGGACGCCAATTGCGGAACTAAGGGTCCGCGAGCTCCACTGCTAACTCCGCACGTTCGACCTCGTCTCCTAGGTAGAGCTTGAGACGATGGCCATTCACTTTAAACGGCTCAGTGTGCGGGTTAGCAATCTCGATCGTGCCATACGGGAACACCTGTGTGACCGTGTACGGTCCAGACCACTGGGAACGGAGTTTTCCAGGAAAGAGCTTCAGGCGAGAGTTATAAAGGAGAACTCGATCACCAACCTGGAACTCTTTCGGACCCCGCAACCGTGCATCGTGCAGGCGCTTCGTGCGCTCCTTGTACAGCTTGGTGTTCTCATAGGCGTGATAACGCCACTCTTCCAGCTCCAACATCTGCATTTTTCGCTCAGCACCTGCAACACTAACATCCAGGTTTAGCAGCTTAAGGGCCCAGAAGGCCTTGTGCTCTAACTCCACGGGCAAATGGCATGCCTTTCCATAGACAAGCCGGTATAGTGAGGTACCAATGGGCGTCTTGTAGGCAGTGCGATATGCCCACAGAGCATCATCGAGCTTGGTGAACCAATCCTTGCGGGATAGGTTCACCGTCTTCTCCAAGATCCGCTTGAGCTCCCGGTTCGTCAGCTCGGCCTGGCCACTGGTTTGAGGATGGTAGGCCACAGACACCTTATGAGTTACACCATAGCGAGACAACAATTTATCAAACTGACCCTGGAAATGGGTGCCTCGGTCGCTTATGATGGCTCTAGGTGTCCCGAACCGGGAGAATAGCTACTTCAGAAAACCACAAACACGTCTAGCATCATTAGTGGGCAAAGCTTGCGCCTCAGCCCACCTAGAGACGTAGTCAACAGCAACAAGGATATATGTATTACCAAAGGATGGAGGGAAGGGGCCCATGAAGTCGATACCCCAGACATCAAACATCTCACAAGTAATAAACACATTCTGGGGCATCTCATCACGGGCAGAGATGTTACCTGACCTCTGGCATCGGTCGCACCTGCGTGCGAAGGAGTCTGCGTCCTTGAAGAGCGTGGGCCAGTAGAAGCCCGACTGGAGCACCTTCCTCGCCGTGCGGTTGCCTCCGTGGTGACCGCCAGCAGGTCCTTCATGACAGTGAGATAGAATGCCCTCCATCTCACTCTCCATAACACATCGACGGATGATCCCGTCGGCTCCGATCCTGAAGAGATGAGGGTCATCCCAAAAGTAGTACTTCAGGTCGGAGAAAAACTTCCTCTTGGCGTGAGTTGTCATCCCCTTGGGCAGCTGCTGGCCCACAAGATAATTTGCAAAATCAGAATACCAGGGGGTGACACTCTCCACCAGGCACATCATCATCAGTCTCTCATCTGGAAAGGAGTCATTGATCTCCTCCTCGAGGTTGTCCGCAGGGGGTGCGTCCAACCGGGAGAGGTGATCGGCAGCAACATTCTCCGCTCCCTTCTTGTCCCAAATCTCAATGTCAAACTCCTGCAGCAGTAAGATCCATCGTATGAGCCTAGGCTTGGCATCAGCCTTGCTCATCAAGTATCGAATCGCGGAGTGATCTGTATACACGGTCACATGGGACAAGACCAGATAAGGGCAAAATTTATCGAAGGCAAACACCACATCGAGCAGCTCCTTCTCTGTGGTGGTGTAGTTCTCGTGGGCATCATTCAAGGTCTTCGAGGCGTAGTAGATAGGTCGGAAATGCTGATCTCGCCTCTACCCCAACACAGCTCCAACAGTAAAGTCACTGGCATCGCACATAATCTCAAATGGCAGGGACCAGTCAGGAACAACCATGATAAGAGCTTGTGTGAGCTTCTCCTTCAAGGTCGTGAAAGCCGCTGTGCATGCATCAGTGAACTGGAAGGGGCATCCTTCTCTAGAAGCTTAGTCAGGGGCAGAGCAATCTTAGAGAAATCCTTGATGAACCGCCTGTAGAACCCTGCATGACCAAGAAAACTCCGGATCCCCTTAACAGATGTAGGAGTAGGCAGTTTGCTGATAGTCTCGATCTTCGCTCTGTCCACCTCAATCCCCACCTTGGAGATCTTATGACCAAGAACTATGCCTTCTTGAACCATGAAGTGACACTTCTCCCAACTCAGTGCCAGGTTCGTTTCTTCACACCGTTTAAG